GATTAGAATCTTGATTGAAGCAATTTAAAATTATGTTTGGCATTCATCTAAAATTGTTGTTCAAAATTATCAGCTTAACTCACTCAGTTCAATAAGTGACATATTACACAAATGGATTTTGTTTAAAATGTAATTCATCAGCTTGGTTACTTTGGCAACTTCTTCATTTTTAATGAGAAACTTATCAATTACAAGAAAGGAGCATTGTCGCTTTCTACTAGGTCTATAGAGGTAGGAACTACAGAAAATGTGTGAATCAAGATGACAAATGAGATATATAGGATATCATGGTGTTGCATAAGTCCTAGTCTGATGTTCGTAGAATCTCTCTAACTTTGCATCTCAGTCGTGGCTTACCACAATGCAAAAGTCCTTGTAGCCCCCTCCCTTTTTGACATAAAACTTCTTGGAGGTTGGCAGAAACTTGATGTTAGTTCATCATTTTTATGTCACCTTTTGTGATGGTGACATATTGTTATGGTCTCCAATAGCTTTTTTGTGGACAGTGTTCCGCAGTTGGTGTATGGTATTTGGCAATCTGCATCCACCATCTGTAACAAATGGCAGGTGATGACATTTTGCATGTTAATGCCTTGTAGCCCTTGTGACTCCCCCATTACACATACACACCCCTGGTGATGAAGTTAGTAGGTAAAAGGAGGGGGGGGGGGCAGAGACTTGATAAAAGACTACAACTTAAACCAGGCGAATATACGTCTATGGGATTATAACACTTAGCACTCACTTAACTTGGAAACAGCTTAAAAATATATCATAACACTTCAGACTCAGTGTGAAGAAAAAGTGTTAATATTCATATACGATGTCAATATTACCAAACATTCAATGATAAGTATAAGTATGAACTCTGTGAATTCACAGATGTAAACCATACTAAAAGGGGTTTGAGTCAAGTACCAGAATTATGTGGATTACCTAAGGATAATGCGATTTAGGGACTTTGAAATGAGTAAGCCTATAGTGACGTGAATTGACTTCTTGGTTTAGGCTAATGTGTCTCTTCACATTTTTTCCAAATACCCTTATAGACATAATTCATGTTTTCATTGAATGCTACCATGTTTAGGACAATTTTGTTCAAGTAATGCACCGTACCCCCTCATGAAGTATTAATTTAAAAGTTTCAAATTGCAGTTTTGATAAGAACTTATGTTGGGATCAAAAGAGCAAAACCTGAAAACTTTCAAATATATTTCTAAGACAATTTTATTGAATTGGTTAAGTATTGAAGAAAGTAGGTTACTGTGCCAAAATTGGATTTTTTAAAAAAGTGTTGCATATGCAAGAAAACCCATACTGGTAACTTCTCGAATATTAGTGTCTGCGAAATATTTATAACCACAACTATGAGCAGAATGGAAAAATGTATGTTAAACAAGCACTTGAAAAAATCCTGGGAAAATGATGCATTTGAAATAATGTGGCAAAAAAACTGTAAAAGTTTTAGATAAAATTATTGAATTACTTGTCACCAATCTATCCATCAAGCTGGTTTATGAAAGGAACTCCTGTTTATAAAATGTTCATTTAATCTTGCTTATTTAATTCTCTCCTGTTCTCCCTAAAGTAGATGTTTTCATCTAAGTTTGTTGTATTTCTTAATTTTAGAATGTGTTTCTTACATGATCATTTGATTTCTTATTAATTTTTCAATATTCCTCTGTATTTCAAATTAAAACTCTGATAAAAGTTATATTATCTTAACTGGTTTTACATGACACTGAATGAATAAAACATGTCAACATGTAAGTAAAAATAAGATATATAATCACGATGTAGGTATGCTAAGTACAAAATGGGTGTGATGGGAAAATTTTATTATTTTTATTTTACGATGAATAATATCGTAGCGTCATTTGTATATCTACTGTCTCGTTCTATGTATTATGTTCATTATCCCAACGAACGAAGTTCGTTAGGGATATAGTGAAGCCCTCCGTCCGTCTGTCCGTCAGTCAGTCAGTCAGTCAGTCCGTCCGTCTGTCCGGAAGATAACTCAAATACTAGTTGACAGATTTTCTTCATATTTAGTGGAAATATGTATATTGGTAAATAGTTTCTTTTTCAAGATGGCCGCCGCTTTAAAAATGACGGGACTTTTTCGCAAAAATCATAAATTTTTCATTCTTAACCAAAGTAATTAATATTATTGTTTGAAATTTTGGTAGTGTATTCACAACATTTATCTATTTCAGATATATTCCGTGTTTTTCATCCTGACCCCAGGGGCCATGTATGGGGGGACAGGAAAACAGAAATTTTCGCTGATTTTTAGATCTTTCTGAAGTATAGCTTTATTATACTCAAATGAAAGGCAATTAAGAGTAGATTGCAAATATTGTATCTTTTTTCTGATTCGAGCCTCTTAAAATTCAAAATGGCCGTCTAATGTACGATTTCGCAATAATTTTTCGATCCCTTCAAAGTATGGCTATATTATACTCAAATTGAAGGAATTTTGGAGTAGATCACAATTATGGTATTATTTTTCAGATTTGTACCTCAGAAAATTCAAAATGGCTGCTTTGCAGGAATTCGCAGTTCTAAAATCTAATTTTTTCATTTTCAACCAAAGTAATCAGTATAATTGATTGGAATTCGGTAATTGATATTTTGTTCGTTGGGATTTGCTACTCCGCGGAGTTGCCATTATCTAGTTACATTATATGACAGTTTTGTACAGGGTGTCCCAGGAGTGTTACAGAGTGTCTGAGGTTGTTACAGTGACTCACCTGCTCCCAGAGCAATAGATATTGACTCATTCATCAAGTTTCATAACAAGTATATCTGCTCTTCATTTTGTATAAATAAAGACCTTTAACATAAAAAGGTTTTTGGTATGATTCACTGGGAACAGACTAGGGATCATGTAACTCTGTAACACCATGGAGGTCTTTATACAAATATAACAAATTCTAGTCTATAATTTCTCGCATGATTGTCTTGGTAGTCATTTCATCCCAGGTAACTGCAACTAGGCATATATATATTATATGAGTATAATGGACAATCAGACTTTTGGGCATTGAAGCTTAGTCTTGCATCAAGCCCATATGTTGTCCATCTTCTGAACACTGAGGAACTGACTTTAGAAATAGATATTGGGGGATGGAGGATGCTTTATGCAAGACTAGTCCAGACTAATCATTTAAGATTGCTTAGTCTCACTTCAAGTGTGTGTCTGATAATACACAAGGACTTGATGAAAGAATACATAATGATTTTGTTTAAAATTGGAAGTGTTACATTGAATTGAAGAGTAATAAGTGCTGATACAAGCCAGAGTATGAGCACAAGGATATGTTAACAGACAAATGATATGTTAACAGCTTAATGGTGTATAAATGTTACTCAATATTCCAATTACTATATGTTAAAACAATGAATACCCTGAGTTTATTGGCAGTCTACTGCCCTCTTACATTGCCTGATTATTTTTCAGTTACAGTTGCCCAACCAATCAGATAATACTGCAGCGTTGCACATATGTTTATACTATCTATATATGTGGAGAATTGTCTCTGTTAGTCTTGCTAAAACCCTTTGTACTCCCCTCTCCCTACTACATACCTCCCAACCTTTGTGAGAAGTTTTCATCCCTGTGTAGCCAAGTAGTGGGAGGGGGGTCACAGGGGCTTGTAGCTAGACTGTGTCTCTGTCTTTGATTGCCAAAATATTAAGAGGCTCATCATAAATGAAGATAATAGAGACTAGTAGTTAATCACTCTGTTCAAAGGGTAAATAATGAAATTACTGATCCATAAATAAGAGAGTCCTAGTTGTTTGTGTTGAAATATTGATGACAGTAGCATATTGTTATTAAGTTATCCTCACCAATCATCCTGCCCTTTCCAAACTGTTTTAGGAATATCACTTAACGTTAAGACTTTTGGACCACCCCTCGTATATAACATGTGAAGAAAAGTAACATTTTTGATTGGAAACATTTGTGAATATGAAATCCAAAATGATGGAAGACATATAGAGAATGATATTATGCATGATGTTCTGAGAGGAACTGTTTCTGTAGGTACAACTCTACAGTAAGCTTAAAGCCCATGGGATCACCAATGAACGTCATAATAACTGAGTTAGCTCATCATTGCATTGGAGCAATTGGAGACTTGAATAGTAGTTTCAGATGATACAATTTATGTCTGAGTTTTACAAATGAGAGTTTCCAATTAATTTCTATGTAATTTCTATATAATGTTTGTAATTCTATGTTATCAGGGGGCTCATACAAGAGATATTAATTTATCAATACCATTCTATTGTTTTTTTACTCATTTGTTTTGGCGTTATCATTCTTTATACTTAAAAAAATTTTCATTTTGTTCAAAACCATCTACAAATTCCCAGGAGTTCAGATCTGACTTCTGTTATGAGATTTGACCTTGTATTGACCCTCAGTGACCTTCAAAATCTTGATATTGAGAAATATAACATCATGGGAAATTATAATCATGAAAATAGCATGGAAATTCCCATCGTGGGATTTACCTTAATGTAGTTGTTTTACTGATGAGTTTTGATTCACTGAATTGACCCGGCTTGTATGTTTTCTTTCCCAGGACAGACTGCAGCCAAAGATTGGCAGTTTATAAACTGTCAAAGTTGATGTAGAAAAACAACTTTTATTTCAATCTTGTCCTTATAATATATGGGCTAATCATGTGTTTGTTTCTATAACAAGATGGGATTCTGGCATTAAAGTACCTCAGTTCAATTAGTACATCAAGGTCCATGTCTTTATTTTGCATGATAAAGTTGTTTTATGTTTCATTTAGCTTTGCAACAAGTCTACACCCCAGTTGTGATTATCTAGTCCCTCTTTTTTGTTTCATGATATATGTCGTTTCAAAGATGACATTGATGGTATCTTTGAACTGTGATGTTACATTGGTAACATAGATGTACTGTGTTATATGATAATGACAATTATGATCCATATTTAATGATATGTGTTGTTGTTTCAGCGGTGGCAGCGGCGGTTCTTTGTGCTGTATGATGATGGAGAGTTGACCTACTCGGTGGATGACAATGTAAGTATTAACTATGACATTATGCTCTATGACTGTGTCTATAAACATATTTTCATATTGCTATATTTTTGTCTGAACATTCAGTCTTGTCAGATGGCCTTACTACTTTCATCTAGATCTACTCATGGGATTACATACATTTGATTTAGGGAGATTAAGAAACACCCCTTCCCCTTCGCCAATTCTGGTAATAGGTTTTCTGTCTTAAAGGGTTCCGATAAGCATCCCGTATAAAAACAATATGGCGGCTCCAGGCGAATCAACTGGATCAGTCCATTTTTAAGAAATAAGGGGAGTTCTGTAAAATCCAGTTTATTGAAATTGTCTTTGAGATAAAATCATCCGTTTATAATGATTTTGAAAACGTTATCCATGGAGTGATTGCGTTCAAACAGTACATGTACAACAGCCAATATAAATCCTTGTATTAGAACTGCTTTGTTTCATTTGTAGGATATTTCATATGCCAAGCTGTGTGCTATTACGTTATGGGGTAATTTAGATGCCAATTTTTCCTTATTATACACAAATAGAAGATCCTGAAACTTCACCCATAAATTTGAAATTGATTTGTCAAAATAAAAATCACCCTTTTATAAATGTGTGGCGATCTATAATATACTTATGCTATATAACAGTTAGAGGTGTTGACACAACGACATCGAACCTGTGAACCCTTGAGTATTATTCCGGGATCGGGCCTTTTATACTAAACGGTGAGCAACACCAGAAACGAGCGTTCGATTTGCTAAACGATATGCTTCACCCTTTAAGAACCTTGAGGATGTCATCCTGACCTATCTGAGATATTAAAATGTCATCTTGATGAGCTGTTTCATTACCAGTTACTCTTCAAACTCAATTAATCTGACATGAACAATTTTGTGGAATCTCTGCAACTATCAGTCACCTGAGTCAGCTTGCCTAGAGTGAATAATTGTATTCTCCTCTCCCTAACCCCCAGCCTGCCAAGCCTGAATAATTGTAAGCCTTCTTTCGCACCATCCACTCAGTATTATTTTACAGTGAAATAATAGAGTGTTTGAATGAAAATTAGACTGCGAAAACTGTATTTTCAGTTTTGTGGATATTCCATGAGTCATATTATGAAACACCTTGATGTCTTAGATTGGCTAAAAGAGCAATTCAGGCTATCAAGGCTATATCTGCTATATTGTGATTTATCTTGAGCATTCAGGTAAACATTATACCATATAAACATTACAGTTAACCTGTCTCAATTTAAACAGTACAGTTGACCTGTCTCAATTTAAACAGTACAGTTTACCTGTTTCAATTTAAACAGTACAGTTGACCTGTCTCAATTTAAAAAGTACAGTTTACCTGTTTCAATTTAAACAGTACAGTTTACCTGTCTCAATTTAAACAGTACAGTTAACCTGTCTCAATTTAAACATTACAGTTTACCTGTTTCAATTTAAACAGTACAGTTGACCTGTCTCAATTTAAACAGTACAGTTTACCTGTTTCAATTTAAACAGTACAGTTGACCTGTCTCAATTTAAACAGTACAGTTTACCTGTTTCAATTTAAACAGTACAGTTTACCTGTTTCAATTTAAACATTACAGTTTACCTGTTTCAATTTAAACAGTACAGTTAACCTGTCTCAATTTAAACAGTACAGTTTACCTGTCTCAATTTAAACAGTACAGTTGACCTGTCTCAATTTAAACAGTACAGTTCACCTGTCTCAATTTAAACAGTACAGTTTACCTGTTTCAATTTAAACAGTACAGTTTACCTGTCTCAATTTAAACAGTACAGTTTACCTGTCTCAATTTAAACAGTACGGTTGATCTGTCTCAATTTAAACAGTACAGTTCACCTGTCTCAATTTAAACAGTACAGTTTACCTGTTTCAATTTAAACAGTACAGTTTACCTGTTTCAATTTAAACAGTACAGTTTACCTGTCTCAATTTAAACAGTTCAATTTACCTGTCTCAATTTAAACAGTTCAGTTTACCTGTCTCAATTTAAACAGTACAGTTTACCTGTCTCAATTTAAACAGTTCAGTTTACCTGTCTCAATTTAAACAGTACAGTTAACCTGTCTCAATTTAAACAGTACAGTTTACCTGTCTCAATTAAAACAGTACAGTTTACCTGTCTCAATTTAAACAGTACAGTTCACCTGTCTCAATTCAAACAGTACAGTTAACCTGTCTCAATTTAAACAGTACAGTTTACCTGTCTCAATTTAAACAGTACAGTTGACTTGTCTCAATTTAAACAGTACAGTTTACCTGTCTCAATTTAAACAGTACAGTTGACCTGTCTCAATTTAAACAGTATAGTTAACCTGTCTCAATTTAAACAGTACAGTTTACCTGTCTCAATTTAAACAGTACAGTTGACCTGTCTCAATTTAAACAGTTCAGTTTACCTGCCTCAATAGAAACAAGTACAGTTGACCTCTCCGTCTCCGCTGATATAAACAGAACTATCAAAATTAACCTGTGTCCATGTTAACATTCTTGTCTATTATGTATATCTATAGCAGTAAGCTCGTAAACCTCCCAGTCTCAATTTATAGTCATCTGATGATTCCTGTATAATCTGTTTCTATCAGCATTAAACAACTACTTACACCAAAACAAAGGCTTTTGCATAAAGGTGTTCTCAAATATGCAGTTTAACTGTAGGTGCTATCAGACCCCAATGTAGTCCTGTGTTCACTGATACTGTATCCTACATGTACTGATACTCTATCAGTTATAAATGAGTCTTCAGGATGAACCTAAACAGACCTACATACCATATCTATGTTAATGAGAATACAGACAAGGTGAACACCCATTCTGATACTCATCATTACATCTTTTATAATGGAAAAGATATTGACATGGTAATTATCATCATGATGAAAACCTTTGAGTTTTCAGTCCCATTTTAGATGCAACCATTCTGATACTCATCGTATATTCTTTCAATTTTCAACTGGTTGTATGGTAATTGATGGAATCTTTACTTAGTATAGGGCACATCTTACTTTATCTAGTTTCAGAGTTTGGACTTATCCTCACCTTTGTGATTAAGCATGAAGGCCATGGTTATAACATACTCGTATTGTTCACATAAATTCTGAAAAGGCGACCACTATCAAGGTTAAAAGATTGTTTTAAATTGAATTGATAAAGAATAGTTGAAGATGCCTCTTCAGATTATCTTGAAGTTACTTTGACCTAGAATATAAGTAGCCTCCATACAGGTATATACCTAATTAATGAGATACAGTTCAAATGTGGTGTTGGAAATCAATCAATAGATATTATATTTAAAAGTATCATCATTAGAAAATAGATGTGTCATTATGTAAAGTTTTATGACCCATATCTTATTTTAATGAGCACATTGGTTTACCATACTGCCCTTCCATGTTGGTAGTAATATACTTTATTCAAAAGACATCATTGCGCCATGATAGGAACTACCACTGAACCAACTCTCTATCTTCAGGGGGGTGGGCTTGGTTAATAGGGGGTCACATATTAGTCCCTGTCCCCTACATGATACCTCTCTTCTGGAATATAATTGCTATTTGTGTCAAATATAAGAGTACAGGAAGGAATCAGCAAAAATGAATTAAATATAAACTGTTAAGTTAATTAATCACATTATTGATTCTTTTTAGAGGAAAAATCTGGTGAAGATTTTTTAATAGAGATGAGGTCGTGCTAACTTCTAGTATATTGTACATGTGATTTAATTGTCTCCTAACATATGTCAGCACCATTATAGATCATACTCCAGCTATAGTATTAATTATTTAACAATTAAATTAATTAAAATGTGCTTAATTAATAATAAATGAGACTGATGAAAGGAATAGTGACAAGACCCTCGCTCATCTTAATCAATTTATATAAAATAAGTGTATAATTATACCAATATGATGCAACATCATCATCATTATATAACCATAGGATATACAAGTATCCCAATGCATATATATTTTATATGTGTATCCTATACCACCGTTATAGGACGAATACTTTATTTTGATGAAATGTTATAATCGTAAGGGATCTATTGCAAAATGACTTTTTAATCTGCCATTCTTTTCGTTTTGAAAAAAAGAACAAAGTAACAGTTGAATTCATGCCACGTTCCCTTGTATTTAACTGTGCTTCAGTCGTTGTTTTTTCGTACTTTAGAAGAGGAAATATTTTATCCCTGTGCCTCGTTATTGATGGGTAAGAGTGAACTAATCTGTAATGCCAACTGTTTCGTAATTATACAGATCAGAACTTTTTAATTGCTGATTGATAAATTACAAAATATACAAGTACATGTTGATAATATTAGATTAGGCTCTCTCTTCCTCTCTCTCAAATATGTTAATACCCACAGTTTATGGTTCATATTGTTTTTGGAGATATCCCATGATTATATCAATATTTATAAAAGAAAAACTAATAATGGTAAATATCATTCCTAAGTAATGACTAGTATCATCTATTATCATTAAAGTCTATCACCAGTTTTTTCAGCCACAAATTCGCAAAAAGGATCTCATACAAAACATGTAAAAAAGATCTCATATTTTGGTAATATTAGTCAGAGAGAGGAAGTTTATAGTTCCAAAGGGAAGAAGTACACATTGGTGTTTTATTTAATACAGTTTACATGATTTATGGGGATTTGTCCTGTTTTTTTCCAAACTTTCCCCTTTGTTCTTCCTCATTTTTACAATTCTTAGGTATAAAATGAGAATGCTTGTAAAGAAACTATCCAAATACTACGTGGGTCATGTTACCCCCTCTTGGAACAATTGTATTTTTTGTATTAATTAGAATTGGTTTTATCAGTCTATATTGTTAAATAGTTATATTGCAATAAATAAACTGTGCATTGTTTCCGAGGCAACTAATGGCATTGTGATAAAGTTGCTGACATAAAGTGACATTTATTAGCTAGAACACTCCATGGGATGATTTTCATTGTCACACCATCTACTGTGGCTCATTCTGATACTCATAGCATCTTTCTGTTTCACTTGAAACATGCTCTGATACATATTCTGTGATCTGAGCACATCAGATGGGAAGAGTTATAACTGTCAATAAGTGTGATAGTTATTATGTAATCATTTACCTAATGTCAATACATTACATAATAGGCATTGTTAGTACCTCAGTTGAAATACTCGATTTTGATTGGTCAACGAGCGGTGAATAATTTTAACTGTACACCGCGCAATGCATTGCCGGTGAATAATATTCCCAGCATTCCACTAAAATGACGTCATTATCAGACGATAAAATGGCCGCTGCTAGCACTAGCCGTTTCAAAAATGTTGAAGATGAGGATATTATTAGTCTCTTAGAGAGTAAAGTCAGTGAAAATACGAAGAAAAATCTAAAACTTTGTACAAAGCTTTTAGTGGACTTTGCCCAGGAGAGTAATTTGACTCCATTGAGTGAACTTACTGCCGATATACTGAAATACAACATGAACGTCTCGAGGGTCTGGATCCTACTTCAAGTCAACTTCAAGGGTCAGAAAAATCTAAGATATTCTTCGGACTAACAAAACAATTATAGACCTCTCCATTCGGTTAACTGTCAAAATTATATCCCTCGACTGTAAACCTCGACCTACGGTCTCGGTTTACAGTCTCGGGATATAATTTTGACAGTAAACCTCTGGAGAGGTCAATAATTGTATATTGTATTTAATAGCAGATATTAGCACAGGTACGTGTACACAAGTTTAATGACCCCAATGAAATGAAATATGAGCTGGGATGAAAGATCTCAAAAATCCTCAATTTTGGGCTCTCTTGGATCGCCAAATCAAGTTCATTATATCATGGCATCTCAGGGCTGAGAAGAAATGAGATGACATGGTATATCATGATGCTGTGGCTAGGTACTATGTTTATTTTGATCATAGACTACTTGTTCTGAGTCTTGACTCAAGGCTGACTATAACCCCCCCCCCCCCCCCCCCCCCTGTATACTTCACTTTCCAGCAGAGTTCTGTGCCAGATTGATAAGAAATAACAACATACATGCATTATATTAATTATCCTATATGAGGTTCAGGATATTGGGATTATCCCGAGGCAAATGTAATATATCTGCCTGAGGGCCGTAGATCATATGTTCATCTAGTAAAGGTATAATGCTATTATTCAAACTGACATAGTGTGTCGTTTTTTCTCCCTTTACTGTGCTGACCTCTATTGGTAAAATGGTATAATATCCTGTCCATTACAACTCTGTAACAGAGCATGACAATAGACTAAATAAGTCTTTCCTGTTGTTTTGTCATAATTTCACAAAACATGCATATAGATAACAGATGCCTATATTTGAAATATTAATTTTTAATTGGAATAAGTGTAATCATGCACATGTAATCTGTGAACTTGAACTGTTCATGGTCTATACTCATAATACTTTAATCGGATGATGGGATGATCTAGTATTTAAGTACATATTTCTACTTTCACTGGAGTTTGAACTTTTAATCTTTTGATTTTGGTATGGGAAAATATAACAATCTCCTACTTATAGAAGCTTGTCTTGCATTAACGTCTCAAGGCCAACCCCCCCCCCCCATTTACACCTTTCCTTTGAAACCATGGATCTGACCTTACCTTTTTTAAAGCAGAAATTATACAAGTTTGATTTTGAGTTTGATCAGTCTTATAATTAATCTGAGATCATCATTGAGTTTACATCAAAGACGTGGGAACATACGGTTTTACTGTGCATCATCTATATATGGCAATCATCTCACCTTATAACTGGCCATGACTGACATGATCTTTACACACGATTGCTTTGCTTTCTGGATGGCTTTCACGTCATTCATGGTTGATTAGCTTGATCTGATTTACTTGACAACTGTATCTATTTTCTATTTATTCAAAGTATTATTATACGTAACAGGATGGAAATAGAATGTTTGGGTCGTAATTATACAGATATTTGGCAATCTTCTCTAGTTGTTTGAACTTCAGTTTGACAGACCTTAAAATAATATGTGTGCCTAAAAGTGTTTACATTGAGAAGTGTTCATATTGAGAAGTGTTTATATTGAGAAGTGTTTGTAATTAGAAGTGTTTATATTGACAAGTGTTCGTATTGAGAAGTGTTTATATTGAGAAGTGTTTTCATTGAGAAGTGTTCATATTGAGAAGTGTTCATATTGAGAAGTGTTTATATTGAGAAGTGTTTGTATTGAGAAGTGTTCATATTGAACGATTCTGATAACAAATGGGATATCCAGAAATCCAGCTTTTCTTAACATTAGATGTTCATTTTCTTTTATTAAATAGAGAGGATAACAAACATATGCATGTCTTAACATGGATATTGCTGAAATAAACATAAAAGTGAATCTTGATTTGAAGATTGAGCATACATATTGTTTAATTGAACATACATGTATTTTATATGCTCATTTTTCAGCTTATATTTTGAATCCCAAATTTTTGAAAACATCAAATCTTAGTATTAAAGTTTCAGAAGTTGAGACATTATTGACTGGTTGAAATATTATAGACATGAGGGGGAGGTAACTAGGTTACAACTCGGAGGAGACACAATTATAGGTGATCAAATTATAAAAGGATGTTGCATAATTCCCATGATTGAAAGGTTAATTCTAAGGGCCACAAACCTGATTGGTTGATTATTGTTTCATGGAGTCTTGGTTTTGACATCCTTTGAGTAAATTAATGGGAAACATTAATCTAATCCCTGACTAGTTGATCACTTGTAATCCGCTCTTATTCAACTACAGGATTTAATTACAAACCTGGTAGATTCAACAAAGAAGGAATAACAATCCCAGCATAATCAACCATTCAAATAATCCCATGATCCCATTTTCCCTCCACACATGGTAAACTCATTTTCCCAAAGTCAGATAAATATTGTCATTTGTATATATTGCATTGTTGATATTATTACCTCGGAGGTTCCACTGTGAATGTATTGTTTGCTTACATGAATAAATCACATGACTATGATATTGTTACATCAGTCTCTTCCCACTATTCCTTTATTGCAAGAATAGTATAGACATTGACATATTGATTCATGGAAAACAATAGACTAATGGTTATAATGGTTTAATAGTCATGCACTTCATTTTCAATAATGGGAACTGTTCAACTGAGGTGTAAGTAACGGAACTCTAAAGGAGTAAATTTCATTTCATGGATGTTGATGATTGATGTTTATTTTGTTTTATGATTATAGCACCATTATGTTGTGGATTAATAATTCGTTCATTTATTTATAATAAATCTTAGCATAAAAACAGAAGTATTTGTAAGTTTAAAAGGGAATCATTGTCATTTGTAAATAAAAAATGGCATTTTATGTGATTGATAAATAAATATGCTGTTTCTTGTCATGATTCAAGGTGGGAACAGTACCCCAAGGAACACTGGACATGAACAAATGCACAGATGTATATGATGCAGAGGATGCGACCACTCATGACTTCTCTGTGGCTATACAGCTACCACAGAAGATATACTATGTGAAAGGCACTGCTAAAGAAGAAATACAAAGGTATATAACTTTGAAATTTATTTCCAGTTTATATCTGTAATATACATTTGCTATTTTGTTATTTCTAATTAATTGGTCTTTACTACAAAGCTGAAAACATATTTTAAGAATTAACTATCTCTAAATGAGAATCGTATATTTGTATAGTAATTTTCTATCTATTTCCAAATATGATGTCTTCAAATTGGTAATAAAGTGTCTGAAATTGGCTTTGTATAAAAAACCTCCTACCTCATACCCACCTACCCACGTACGTTGGACATGATACAGTCTTTGAAGGGTTCAAATTTAAAGATCTTAGTTTATTAAATCTAAGTTTATGATGCATTTGTAACGACCCTTGATAGCAACTTGCTACTACAGTCCAGCTGGGTTCGATTCCCACTCAGGGCATCGAATTTAGTACACTTTCTTTCAATTTCTTTATCTAGCTTGTTGGACCTATGCTCGGGGTCGTTGGTTAGTTATTCCCCTGGGGCGCCCTTTGGTCATTACACATTACAATGCACCCATATGCCTTTATTTATGGATCTGTCATCCGTCTAGTCATAAAATAAAGCCGGAATTGTAGAAATGTTAATAATTGGAGCTATTTTAATATTTAAAATCTTTAAAATTGAACCCTTCAATGACTGTATCATGTCCCACGTAGGTGGGTAGGTGGGTATGAGGTAGGAGGTTTTTTATACAAAGCCTCTGAAATTTGTTCATGGTTTAGTAAAACAGAGGTTCCTAAATGATCGATATTCATATTTTTACATCGACACACCTTTAATTATTTCTGCAAGCCCATCTAATTATTTCCTGGACTCATTTATAGATTCTCTTTACATAGTAACATATTAGATAGGCTACACGATTCTTTATTATATTTATGTCATAATAAAAAATATCTCCGAAACATGTGATCATATAAGCTACATGTATTGGATTCCTTTCTCACTTTCTCTATCATGTTGTCTGCAATGAAATAGTATAAGATGCCTTTTAGAGTTTTAGGTTTTCATACCTATGAGACCATTGCTTTGAACTCATAACATCATAAAAATACTCAGATAAGGTTAATAATGGGAGTTAATGAATGGCAAATTCACTCCAGGCAAATTGACTTCTGATTTTTTTGCTCTATCTACCAGTTCTGAAAATTGCACTAATTTGGAGGCATCAGATTTAAATGTCATGGTGGTACAAATGTAAAAGAAAGTAAGGTATGGTAGTAATTGTATGCATTACATTTGTGTTATATTAAATTATTTATGAGATCATACTAGTTGGCCTTTGAAATTATTTGCTAGGTTGAACAGTTTTGTCCAAAATTCTTGCTCTGATATACAGGGTCCAGACCATCTCTATCTAAATGCTTTTAAGCAGGGATTACCATTGAGGGTGTGATTCTCCACAAACCCTTTTGCAAAATTATCTTTCAAAGTTTCTGAATACTTCTAAACTCACCAAGCCATTTAGAGCCTGATATCACTCAATCCAAGTGCTCTCTGATTGGTTATATGTGGTTATGTAGTAAAATGATTGGCTGAAGTCAGAGGGAAATGTACTAACCAATAAACTAAGGGTTCTTACCCTGCAGATTTCTACCTTAAACGTTTAATCCTACCAGCTTTAGCCTGGGAAATGTTATGATTTTATCTTCTGAAAGCTGAGATCGGTGGAAGTTTGTAGATGTCATGGCACTTCCTTCTTTATAATTTGGGGGATTATATTTACTCTGGTCTAATCATTTGTAATTAAAAAGGTGTTCTGTTTTCAAGATCATAGATTGATATCAAGACCAGTTTTACATTTGACTTACAATTAACCTCTACAATATGTATCCATGTATATCTTTTGTTGACTCATGACCTGACATTCACCAGGCTCTTGAAAGGATTTGAAATCAGAGCAGTTTTGCATTTTGCCAGTTTTTGAATTTTACACATTATTGTCTAAATATGCAATTTCAATGGCAGCTAGATCTGTCAATCAAAGTATGAAAGAGATTTATTCGTGACAGAAATATCCATCAATCTAGGTATTCAAGAGCTTAAGGTGTCTGTGAAGGCAGCTTTGAAAAGGGGAGTTTCATTTTTAAGATCGTTAAAAAAATTTAATTTAATTGGGCACTTTGCCAGTTATTATTTCAATTTGTTTGTTTCAGTACTCTTATGTTGAAATAAAATATAAGTTGACAACAACAGTAACAGAGGAATTTTTTTAATTTGAAATATTAAAGGAATAGATGGAATTAATTCTTCTACCCATTTATAGATGGCATGATGTGTTGGTGATGTATCCAAAGAGCAACAAGACAAAAACCAAGCGAGCTCCGGTTATTCCACAAAACTCCAAACCAAAGGTCACTCTCGGCGAAGTCGATGTAAGTATAATACATATACTGTTATTGTCTTAAATCAGTGTCGGGTTGAATACACTCTATTGCACAGCTGCAATTAATGGATGAAAAGGATTGTCACATCAGCTTAAGACAGTTTTGGGGTGGAGTTTGAGGTAGTCTACTTTAGACCCTTACAAAAGTCTCCACGTTGGATGGCCTGATAAAGACTAGTCTACCTACAAGCCCCTGTGACCCCCCTCTTCCCACTACTTGATTACAAGTGTGTAGTGAGGGAGGAGGGGGGGGGGGGCACTAAGGCTTTTAGCTAGACTAATTAAAGACGACTGTTCATGTTTTAAACTTAATTACATGAGGTCAGAAAATTTGATAAATTTTTAAAATTGCCAAACATAAAAGCAGGCTTTTACTCATTGGCCAATAGGGGTGGTGGTGTTGACTTATTTTGGAGATAAGTTGTGTAGGGATTGTAGAAAGCCAATAGGGTGTCAAAGTACAGCATTTACTTCTCTCTGAGACTAATATGTAATAGGTACAATAAGGTATTTATTTTCTGAAACATTTGCAAAATAACATTTGGGCAATGGGAATTAAACATGAAATCTTATATTTGTATCTGTTGGTGTTGGTTCACAGTTTTATTGCATAGTTAAAGGTATCATAATATGTTACATACTAAGCTAAGTTGATATAATGCTTTGAGATAAGAACAACTTGGAAGTTAAGTTATATACAATTTCCTAATTGTGTAATACAGCATGAAATAGTTCTGCATTATAGATTACTTATAAGGAAATATTAAGTTTATCTCTAAAGTCTCTATATAAATAATGGGATATTGAGAAAAATGACAGAATTAAGATGTTCATTGAAAGATAAGATGTGTCTTCAACCTGTATCTTCCCATGTATGAAATGTTAGTCATATTCTGAAATATAAAATAATTGATAAAAGGTGCACTCGAGCAAGGAATTAAATGACAATACACAACACAGCGTGTAGTCTAAATTGTGAAGTAATCCATAGACTTTGATTTACTCAAGATTCATAGAGGACATTTGTGACATATGAAGAACTGGTACGATTGGTATTTTGTGTCTTTACAGCTTTAGATTTTTCTTATCATTCTTTGATTAACTCTCACAGTTTGTTATAATAATAGCTTATACCTTTACAAAACAATTCTCTTGTGTCAGCATAATTCTAGACTTTTTCTGAATAATATTCTGAATATGATACATGGAGTTTCAGTCATATGACAACAATTTATAATGTTATTCCTTCTATGTGAATTTCTTCTTCAGTTTTATTTCTCTACTTGGGATCATTTGTATTATGTTGTGTATTATAACTTTGGCTAGTTCCCTCATCATTATAGATAGAGATATGATAAAAATCCTTGAATTAAACATCACAAATGTCACACTTTTCATGAAATATCATGTAGAAAATCAACAAGGAATATCTTAAACGACATTGAAGTTTAGGGTCTGACTTGTATGTAAATCATATGTATTTTTCCATATATTAAAATGATAAGTTTGTCTGTTCGATCAATAAGATTGGCATATTCTTCATAGGTTTACTCCCACCATATGTCAGAGATGACAACATATTTCAACTCGGCATACTTGGGTAATCAAATCTATATAAGAAAACACAGTTTTATTGTTTGCTGAAGAGATGCATAACTACATCTGAAAGAAATATAGTATATAGGATATACTCATGGAATAACAATTATTTTGCCACCACCAAAAACTAATGGCATATTTCATAGTTACTGTTTTTTGCTATTACTATGGTATTTAGTGGTCTGATTTGGTGGTAGGTGTTTGTATCACTGTCTGTAACAAATTGTCACACTTCTGTAATTATTTGCAATAACTTCCCAGTTGGTGACATTGTGTCATGTAAATGCCTTTTATTTATTTGACCTAGTAGAAAATTATGATTTTAAAGCAGGTTATTGAGACTTACAGAAGTGCTGTTTATTTGACGGATAATCCACAGTATAGAATCTAAGGCACTCCTTATAATGGTACAGTAAGACTATAGACCAATGGAGAGAGGAGGATATAAGGGGAAGCAACTTACTATTGATTAGAGATATAAGCTAATATAGGAATGATATCAATCCTAGAAGATCTTTCTTCTTCATTAGAAGGAATTATTGCGTGACGAGACAGGTAAGGTTATTATAATTGATGCATTTGGAAATGATTTAGGAATCTCAAGGTTGACTGTATGTTCGTGATATCGTCCTGTGGGTCAGTTTCGTTATGATGTTAAGCATTTAAAAGACTTCTGCATTGAATTGTTGACTTAAACTTCAATGGTTTTCTATGGCGGTAAAGTGATGTACTTTATATGATATACTATGTTATGCAACAACTTAAACTGACAGAGAATGTCATAATAGAAACAAGCTTATATGGGCAAATGGATTTTCAGGAGTAAGGAGAAAGGTAAGGATTTTAATTCATTTTAAGTCCAGCAGTTTCTTGGTTATAGCAATAAGGATAAAACAAGATAGTCACTCAGGTATTTAATTCATTAATAAATTAATAAAGAAAACATTCCGACGTCTGATGGTAACTGAAATGTCAGGTTTAATAGTCTGATGTCAAAGTGTTTATATTAGTTATTTCAGTTATAGGCTAGAGATATCCAATTATGGCAGGTGGTGACATTTTGCATGTCAATGTCTTGTATTCCATAGCTCAGTGAATAACATAATCAATAGAATATTTAGAGTTTTGATGGATGATCTTATTATGTAAGTTTGCATAACTAATATTCTTCTCAAAGAAATCTTTTAGAAAGAATCTCAAAAACCCAATACAGTACAGCATATGTATATTCTAATGAACTGGAATTTTCATTTATTAAATAAATATGAAAACATACAAAGGAGAGTAAGTCAACAACCTTAGATTAAGATTTATATCATATAGAACTTTTTGTTAAAAATGATGTTGTTCCGAATTTCATTTCAATTGATTAAATATATTGTAAAGCCCAAATGTATTTTTCTATGTATTTTCTATTGTTATGGTATTTAAACAAGAAAACATAGAATATTCATCACAGTGTCAGCATTTCTTCACTTGACTTACCTTTGTTAGGTTGTTGACCCTTAGAAACTGTATGTTTGCCTGATAAATTGGAATCAATAGATGATTTGTGTAATTGGGAGCTGAATGTTTAAATTGTGCTAAAGGATACAAACATAGTTCAAATAATATATTTCCTTTCTTTGATTTCAAGTTAAAGGCTAGTAGTAAATTGGTGATGAAACACACAACTCGTAAAATTTTCCATCAAAGAAAATAAGAAAAAAATGTTTTCACTGTGCCTTTTTGAATGATCTCGACTGAGGATATGTCTCTTAAAAGTCAGAAATCACCTTCAGGATGTGTCTAGATGCTTAGTGTGATTCTGTGCAGTCAAAGAGTTTACTAAAAATGTTTACCATTAATGTGCCTGGCAAACAGGTGTGGGTGTAAGAATCAACCTGCTCAGTCGCTGCCTAACATAACTTTAATAGTTACAATTCACATTGTTTTGCCTAAAGCAAGTTATGATTTTATTAATTATGGCTGGATATGAAGAAAATTCATAATTAGTAATTAATGCCATATAAATTAAGTTGTTAATTAGAACTGGAATTTTTGACAGACTTTTTCATACATGTATATTGTATATATGATCATACATAGGTTTTGAATAAGTGTTACAATCACTGTCATTGATGCAAACTTGATAGTTTTGTATCAGGTTAAATAATCTGCTTAAACTATATATTTATCTTTAAGAGGATATACATTTATTCAAAAACATAATGATGTCATAATACCTTTTCAAATTGTCAGATTTCAAAAAGTACAATCTATTCTGATCAGGACATGATATAGAAGCAGGAAACCTGGAATTAATACTGCAGAATATCAGGATAACTAGAAGTCATGGAGAGACAGCATATTCCTTGTAAATATGGGAGTCTTATTGAAAACCAGCTTGCACAATATGGGGTATACTTTGTACATGTAAGTATATGTAAGATCTTTGTGTTTCTAAATTTGGAGATTTTCATGTGTTGTTAATGTGTTTATTATGAATTTATTTACATTTGTACATGATAGATAAAGATTTATATATTTGTAAGAAGCCAAAACTTTTGTTTAATGATAATGAAACATTACATTATTTTTTAAAGTACATCCAGCTATAAAAGAGGGGGAGAGGCAACTAGAGAGATGTAGTTTTCATTTATTTATACCTATTAATGTACCTGTATTCAGGGGTGGACCTGAAAATCCTTAAAAAATTGGCCTCAACCAAAGGGCCCCTCCAAAAAAATTGAGGCAACAAAAGCCTCCCCACACATATCTGCCACGGTATATTTTTAGTTAACCAATAAGGCCTATTCAAGAGAATGGTGAATCCGATTGAATTTCTTTTCTCTAAAACTTGAATATTACTCTTAAAAACTCATTTTGAAATGTCTTATCAGAGACAGTTAGCATTCATTATAGCTTAATAACCTCATTTTCTATTTCCCATATCTTCTGTGTGAGGTATAAGGTTAAATCATATCACAACATTCATCATCTTTGCCTCCTTGACTTTGTATAGTATTGGTTATACGTAGACAAAAATAATAAATCATGTGTTTTCAAAGAAACTTAAGAAAACTGAGTAATAACTTGCATCAATTGACGCTCATTGAATAGTTTCATGTTTTGACAGTGTATTTTGACAGGCTCTATTTCAGGCTTTAATACAAGGATCCTAAAATCATAATAACTTTACTGATTCCTCTGAATGTACATGTAAAAATAAATTAAATTGGCTCTCGGAGAAATTTCACTCACTAAAATGGACTGACATTTTTTATCATCACCAACATTTCCAGTTTGTTCAGAAGACTGTGTTATCTTCCGTTATTTTTGCACACTCATTAAGTTCAACCTTAGGGAGCCGAAACCACAAAGATAATTGCTAGTTGATTAAGTCGTGTTATCCATTATAAAATTATATTTTATGTAATTATCATGATTATCCTGACACCATTTTAACGTCCAATATACCTTGGCAAGGGACGAGACCTAACATGGAGACCAGTATGCTGTCTTACCACCAGGGGTCCTAGACATGAAATCCCTTTGTGGCGGGTGGTGTTTCAATCTGAATTAGAACGAAGTTGCCAATGAGCAATTTTAAAGAGGTCTTTATATTGGATTTGTGTAAAATTTTATAAAAGATGTTAAAGATATTTAAGAAAATTGATCCCATTTTTGAAATTTAGTTAAGAGAAATGTTAAATCAAGAAAATGTTTGGTCACAATATATGTAGTATTTTGCCAGTAGGCATAACTCATTAACGTATACAGCCAACACACCGCTTGTTTTTATACAGTCTTACATATAACTACATATACTTATACTTACCTAGAGCTCAAAGTACTAATTATGTATTGTTATAGGCCCATCATTCAATGACTGTACATTGATTACACAGGCCTGTTGCAAACCATTCAAGATTTTAAAAAGTCGATGTAAGAGTAGAACATAGAACTTACTCTAAGATAACAGTAATGCATATTGCGCACAGGTGTTCATATGTGTACTTCCTCTAAAACAATCGAGTTGGGGCTTCAGCCAAGGTATCTATGTGAGATTCCGGTGAAAATGTATTGTTCCAGTAATTTTTAATGGATGTACATGTGGATTACTTTAAATTATACAATAACTGTGGTGTGCTACCTGAACAAGTATATGTTTAATAATTGTGGTATGTGACAGGGTTTGCCCTCCCTTATTATACCATGTACCAATACAATGTGATTTGCTGAAGTATTTTATTTAAGATACCAAATAGATTAAGGGATAAAGACAGTTAATTTGATCAAAACGACAATTAATAAATGTGAGTATATATTTATTACTATAGTACTACAAGTATACATGTCATCTGTTATGGATTATCATGGAAGTGAAGATACTGTTTCTTTATATGCTTGATCATTGATTGAGATGTTGGGGTTTGTTTGCTATATTACAGGTATCGCTTGTCAATATTTGGTTCCTTACTATATTGGTATTTTACACTGGTCCTTATTAATTGTCATGTTTTTTTCTATATGGATATGAAAATGATCAGAATTGACAGATTTAGTGATTCAAAATTCTTTTATACAACAAACCAGAGGAGCATACTCATTTCCATCGCAATACCCCCCCCCCCCTTATCTTGGCCTTTCCATAGCAAGCAAGAGTGAGTCTGGCCAAAATGACACATCTCGTGTGTTTCCATTAAGTATATTGGTTCAGCCTGCAGTCTACTGGTAATCTATGATGTTTTTTGAGTGACGTATCCACTTAAATTCTCTCCATGCATTCAGAGCACACACATCCTTGACATAATCTACCTCACATTCATAAAAAATGTTTGCAAAAGCGAGATTGTGACATATAACTCTAGGGTACTACAGCCTACCAGTGCATATAACTGTCAACTTGGAGGTAAATAGCGAATACAGTCATATTTTGTAATGCAAAATAAAGGATGAAACTGAAGAAAGAGGAACTTTAAAACCATATAGGTATCTCATCAACACCCTGAATTGTATAGAATTCTAAGGAAATCTATAGATTTATTCAAATTTATGAGTGGAATATAGAGGACACTGTGATGCATTAGAGAGGTTGGCATGTTTTTAACACGAAGAGGTATGCGAAGGTGACCAACATACATGCTTTATGAGATCCTTTTCAGATCTGAATAATTTGTATTATATTTGTGTATATGGTTAGAAAATGGTTTATGGTTAGCAACCTTGGCGTATTAAGGGGATTTCGGGACACATGGGAAGAGAATTTATCAAATATAGTTTTAATTACAATATATACATGCAACAAACAGGTAAGATTGATTAATTTTACACATTATTCCTGAAAGTCATTATTAGAGGAAAAACGATCTGAAGTTTATTTTGAGTAATGTTCATCTAAGGGAACCTATTTTCATAATGTTGGGCTGTTTTGGTTTCTGGAACTTTTGATTGATTAAAACTTGTCGATTGAGACAACACTGAGATGCATAATACCCTCACAATTATATAAGGTAATCTAAATCTTGAGTGACGACTTCACCTGATTTTTTATACTGTAGTAATGTCTTTCATTTATTTTGCTTGGACAACATCCCAGAGGTATTTTTTTCTTAATATTGAAGGTTGTTTATGACATTCGTGCAGATACATTCTTTGATACAATGGGCACTTAAAGGGAGATCGATCGCCTTAGTGGAAATCTAAAACATAACAGGATAAAACGTGTAAAACGGAAATGTAGACAGTTAACATAGTAGTTTAATGTCACTTTGGACTACTGAAGGGTGTGCTTAATAGATGAAAGAGATAGCAATAGAGATATTTTTATCTGATCAGTGTGTAGTATTGATAGGGTGTGTTTATTACAACTTATGACAGGTGAAACAGTAAAGCACTGCTTTGATGTTTACATATATGATTTTAAATATTGATTTGTATAAATGGAGCTATGTGTCTATGTGGAAATGAACTTTGGTTTATGGAAAATGATACATCAGTTTATAAGTACAGATTTAACTTGGAGTATGTGATTATATCAGTTTGAGAGAGATTCCTCTTTATGATGAATTCCAACGAGTACCAGAGAAATTACATCAGGAATAAAAAAGGTCAAAGAAAACAAAAGCATATTTAAACAACCTGTAGAGCTGACAGTAAAAACATTTGCATATGGACACCTTCCAAAACTGAAAACATCCCAATGTGAACATTTTAATAGGTGCATAATTTAGATGATACACTGAGTTCTCTACAGTCAGAATCCTTTTTGAAATATATAAAAACTGTCTAAGTGAACACCTTTCTCAAGTAGTCACCCTTCCTCTGCACATACTCTACTTACTTCTGTTTAAATTACCTTCTCTGAAGTGAATGCCTACAAACACTGAACATTTTTTCTAGCCAAAATAATATTCAATACGAATTCGTATACAGGTTTTCCTCTCTTAAATGAACTTTTGGTTGAGGCCATGAGTGCTCATATTTGACAGGTTTTGTTGCATTTTTAACTGAAGCAATTATGCATTTACACTGACCCATCCAGATAAAATATGTGGAAGGACTGTGCTAAAATTGTTAATAATGACCCCTTCCAAAATCAACCAGATTTTCATTCTATATATGCAATAAATATGGATGTGACATTTTACAAATATATTAGCAATTTGAAATATTGTTTGAATTTTTGATGGTTAAGTCTGCAAGTGTTTGAAGATCAAACTTATACAAATAAAGAACATTCAGTGTATTAATGTATTTTTATAAATTGATCGTAAGAGTCCCTTTTGTATAGCGTGCCAAGATTGTTATATATGCATAGCTTGGAGTTCAGATTTTATGCGTGTTAGGTCTGTACATACGACATACATCTTTAACAGATTGATTTAGTTTGTGCATAGAACACACAGAATTAGACAGGATAAACAAACCTAAATTCTTGATAAAAAATAATATGAAATTAGAAAAAAACTTTGGGATTAGCGAGGATATGGCAAATAAAGGTGTTAACTAGTTTCTGAGGTCAGGTAGGTTGACAATTACTGCATATTGCCAAGAGACATACCTTAAGATTTTATTTGTTTGCACACATATTTTCAAAGGCACTTACTCGGCTATAAAATCCATTGAATTTTGTGTTAAGATTGTTAAGATTGATAACTCATTACTGTAACATTTGAGGATACCTGATCAAATATATAACATTAGACATTTAGGACTTTTTTGAAAATGAGGTGAAGGTGAGTAGAAAGACAAGTAAGTCAGGAGGTCTTAAACAACAGTTTTTGTTATGTTTTTACCTGGTAGCTAAAAGGGTTCATTGCAGGATTTTGCATACAATTAAGATTGTAAATACTTTGTCAAACATGATATGTAGAGAATGTTTTTTAATGTCTCTTTTACAGTCTCTTATGATAATTTTTTTCTGTATTTACAGAAGCCGAAGCCACAACATGCTGCGCCATCTGTAGTCAACCCCCAGTCAGCATTACGCAACACAAAGACGCAATACGCCCGTGAGTTCAGAGATCGTTCTAGATATCACACTTCATATATACCTCCTACCCAAAGCATTATTAAACCTACACCCAAAGATCCAAGCATCTTTGACAGCATTAGCCCAGAGACTGAGTACAAATACAAGCCTAGGAATATCAATGATACCACAAATATAAACAATTCTAACCTCGTTAGAAGTAAAAGTGATGAAGAACTTGTTGATAGTGTAGAAGAAGATAAAGATAAATATGTTAAAACATATCGTGGAATACGAGGACTAAAACATAAGTCGGATAAAACATATCAAGAAGGGCTGAAGAAAAGTAACAGTTTGGGCAATATCCCAATTGAAGGGGAGGACCAAAATAATGGGAATAACACTGATTGGTTGTTTTCTGCATTAAATTCATACTCGACTAATCAAAATTATTCTAAACCAGAGACAGTGTCTCGGAATAATTCAGATAGAAACTCTGACTTTTCCAGTAGACAGAGGGCTTATTCCTCTGTGGATGGATATTCAAATAGTTCTAGTCAAAGCAATAACCGAATTACACCTGGTCTGAGGCGTAATGAAAGGACTACTCACATAGAAATACAGGATAAATATCCCTACATCTACAGACCTGAGGAATCTGGTGAGTCTGATCTTGATACTGAATCAGGTGAGGAGTATACAGACGAGGAATCAGTAGACGAAGAAGAAACATCAGAGGAAGAATCTGAGGGAGAATTAATCATGTCAGGAGAAGGAAGCCCTAAAACACTTTATGAGACACTTAATGATGAGAAGGATAAACCAAAGAAGAAAGTGCTCAAATCACGAGGATCTGCATATAAAGAATTTGCAGGTTTGGGTCTGCAACCAAAGGCTAAACATTTGGAAAAGTTTGAGCCAAAAAACCAAACATCTGCTGAAGTTAAACCAAGGACTGTAAAAACGGACACCCCTCTATCTGCCAGAGTGAGGCCATTCAGTATCACAAGTACCAGTGATGGAAGTCCAAGTAGTGTTAGTCCTGAGAGGAAGTTAACAGCCACTGAAAGGTTATTTGGTTCCAAGAGTTCAGCAGGGTCAGAGGTCAACAATGGGGTCAGGAGCAGTAATGAAACAGATGAACTTAAGGTTAGGTGATATGATTATTTGGTTCATCAGGTCTGAGGAATTTTTCAACTGTCATTTTGGTTCACTGTGTTCATTCATCATTATCTAATGTAACACAGGCAAACATGTTAAGTTCACAACCATTTTAGGTAAAGAAAGAATAAACCTCACCTGTGACTAATTAAGAATGTTAGTTAAATTAATAAAATAAGATACATTTATTTTTTCTAGATGGCCAAATCTTCAGAATCTTCAAGGACTTCAGATATATCTCCCGAACCTTCAGATAAAAGTGATGTAAGTACATATGCACTTAAAATATCATGGTGGCCTTCCATCTCCATATGATTGGAGAGAGTATTCAGAGTATACCAACACTGTCAGTCATTTCATTGAATAGTATCAAATGGTGCAAGTGGAATAGAACCACTTAAGTTACATGTACCCATTTGTGATTTTATACTGTACCGTACCATACTGTATTGAACTTTACTTTACTGTACAGTACTGTACTGTACTGTACTGTACTGTACTATTGTGGATTGACATTCTCTCTGAATAGGTTGATATCATGCATATACAAAGTGATGTATTTTTCCTAGCTGGTTGCAATAGCCTAGACTGATAAATAACTATTTAAACATATTTACAAAAGTGTTAAGTCAATATTTACAATACAATCATTTTTTTAATTAGCATTATGTTTATTTTGGTGCAGCTTGTAAAGGAATTAATGGTGAGTGCTATGTTTGGACACTTGCCAGTCCCTTTTATACTATCCCCACAAATAAATGGTGTCTTTTTCGGGTCTCTGTAAACATTCACATGTATGAAAACAAGATTTGAATAAATAAGGAATTGAATTGATGTGGAAATAGAAGTGTTTCAGCTTTCTACCCAAGGTTCCTAATATGGAAATGTTTGGTTTACTTGCGGTGACTTACGTGAGAAATCCAAGCATTTCTGAGCTATAAAGCTCATCAGTGTGCAGCCCATAACTTTTTATAATTATTTAAACACACTTTCCTGTCATACTTAACAGTTTGTTTAAATAACCATTTTACATAACTGTCATAATATAATTCCTGTTTGGGTATGTTACATACAAAATATTGCATTGTTTTGTTTGTGTGTTTTTACACATTAAAAGGATTTAAGTTTGTTACATCTACAACCCTGTCTTTGTTGTTAAAGTTTAACAGATAAAGTTTACAATAATATAACAGATGTTTGAAAAACCTATATTTATACCCTATATATATTATATAAGAAACAGGCATATTAGTCTAATCTAATTGCATCTGTTGTGTCATTTTGATCAATATTTCTTCATATTAAGTAAGTAAGTAGTCTGGCATTAATTTTTTAGACAATCACTGTATTTTTATATGAATTTACAAAGTATTAGTTAGTGATTTAAAGTTTTTAATTTTTTTTTTTATTAATCATCATTATTTTATTCCAATAATACAAGTTGAAAAACTAAACAATTCCCAAAGTCTGGGGACATTGACGGCGAGGCGAAGTTGTTAATCAGACTTAGAACTATCCAAAAGTTCATAAAGCTGAATTCTTGTAGCACAAGACTCTTGGGTACAAGCTTGACAATTAATTAAATGCACTTGAAACTTGTTTATTAATTTGAAATCATGTCTATTATTCTAGGAATCCATGTATGTGAAGAAAGGTTGGCTTGTTAAACAGGGGGCATCATCTGGGGAATGGAAGAAACATTGGTTCGTTCTCAGCGGCACGGCTTTACGGTATTACAGTGACGCACGTGCTGAGGAATCTGGCCAATTAGATGGCAGGATTGATTTAACTGCCTGTCAGGAAGTGGCTGAGGTTGCTGTCAATAGAAATTATGGCTTCAAGTTGAAGGTAGGTTAATCTATATAAAGCAGAATGACCTAAATATTCCAGGAAAACTGCTCACCTGTTCATCTTAAAATTTTTTACAGATTTAAGGACAGATTAGTGGTAAGATGTAACTCGGTGACCAATTTGAATTTTTCAATGAAAATGTGCAGTATTTATCACTTGTTATGTCTTGTTATGTCCCCACCATAAGTGGTGACATATTGTTATGATTTTCAACTTTTTTGTGGTCAGTGTTGGGTCTTGTTATTTCCCCACCATAAGTGATTACATATAGTTATGATCATCCAACTTGAACAGTGTTTGGCGATTGGTGTTTGGCATTCAGCATTCAGTGGTTGGTGTTCAGTGTCTGTAACAAATGGCAGGTGATGACATACCTCAAACATTTTCTTTAGAATAGATTTCTTGTGATTCCAGACTCAGAATGGGGAATACACGTTGTCTGCTATGACATCAGGTATCAGGAACAACTGGATTCAAGCAATCGCTAAATGTGTGGAGTCTAATGGCTCAGCTTCTCCCCTGATCACATTCCTGCCCACAGAAACCAGGAGAGCAACTGACAATGGTGAAAAACTTAATGGAGATAAGCACAAGGATACCCCGAAAAAAGTTCCACCAAAGACTCTACCGAAAACACGTAGCTCATATCATGATCCTGAAAGCTCAGTTAGTGAGGATGATCGGGAGGAAGCTAAGGCAATTCAGAGAAATGCCAGGATGTTAAGTCGAACAGCTTCAGGAAGTGGCGATAATCCAAGATCATCTAGATCTATTTTGGATCGATGGAGTGGCACATCATCTAATGAATCATCAGGGTCAAGGTCAAGAAATTCCCCTGTGCCATTTGGTGATAAAGGATCAGCATCTTCTCAGCTACGCTCTCCTTTAGAGTCACGTTTTCCACAACCAGTTACGAATAAAAATAAAAACATCGAGCAAGGTTCAATTTTCTCAAGGGGTCCTATAAGAGGTGATGATGATGATGATGTCCCTAGTGAAGTAAAACTTGAGGCTTTCAGTCCACAAGATAAACAAACTGTTAAACAACTGACAGATGATGTTCGTAGATCGAGTCGTGCCTCTGGAAGTGTCAGTTCAGAGACATCCACCCCTGAGATAAGACCAAAAAATCTCAGCCAAAAAGATGTTGAGGAAATCGCTAAATTAGAAAAACAAGCTCATATGAGACCACAGAAATCTATAAAACCTATAAAGTCTGTATCAAATGAAGTATCCCCCTCAGAACTCAAAGCCAGAGAGTTGTACGAAGAACGCCAAAGGGAGATTGAGCAGGTGCGTGAAATAGCACAGCGGAATTCTTCCGCAGATGAAGTTTTTGACTCAGATTTAGATTCAAATAAAACCAGAAGTGAAGATGAAAGGGAGGACTTGCGAGTTATAGAAGAGCAGGCGAGAAAGGCCAGTCGAATTGGATATGCTGCTCGAGACAATTATGGGGATGTTGAAGAGGATATTAAACCAACTGTTCCCCTTAGTCCAGACATGCTTGATGAAGATGATAAAAGAAAAGTAAGCGATGCTCAACGTGAAATAAAACAAACCAGTCGACACAGTTCATATATGGACATGCCTTCCCCAAAACCAGAATTCCTATCAAAGTTTGAATCTGGGAAGGCATTTTTGGAAGATGATTGGTTTTATAAAAAGCATGGGGTATCAAAAACTGCTGATATGGTTGAGCGGGAAAGAAAACGTACCACTTCAAGATCAAGAACCAGTTCAACAAGTAGTACATCCAGTTTAGGTGGTCCATATGACCATGCAAGTACCACCTCCACTCCAAGTAAAACACCGGAGAAGGCCTCCCCCACTGCCTCTGTTGGCCCAAGGACATCCACAAGTAAGACATCAGATGTGACACCCAGATCAAAGTCTCCTGCACATTCCAAGTCCCCAAGTATCAAGGTGAAGGAGAAAGCAAGGGCAAAGTCCCCAGGACCTCCACGCTCACCACCACCTGATCATGATGCATTCTTTGCACAGTATGACAAGCCTGGCCAGGGCAATAAGGTACATTTTAGAAAATACAGTGCACTCTCATTCATATTGAAATCAAGTTTTTGCACAAGAATTTTTAACAAATATGGTTTATACAAAATACAAATAATTATATCTAAGCATTTTTGCTAATTTGGCAAAATTAACTCTAAGGGTCGCCAGAAGTGGCAATAGATTTGTACTCGTATAGCTTAGTAGATTTCAAAGTATATTGGTAATTTTCAGAACCTAATGTTTATCTTTTCCACATTTCACAAACAGCCTGATATGAAAAAAATCACTCAAAAAGTCTGTATTTCTGGAATGATATGTCCATGCATTTTCTATATCTTTTGAATAAACATATTCCAGGTCCTGAATGAGTCAAGTTCGACACTTGAGGGTCAGCCTGGTAGTGGAGAGACCATGTTGGTGGAACTCCTTGATGCTGAGGTAAGATACATATTACTACATATTTCTATCATGCGTCTCATGATTTCCTATGTACAAAAGAGCTCTTGGAATAAGAGGTCAGTACACTCAATAACCCCTCCCCCCACCCCCATTATATAACACCAATGAGGGGACATGCCTCTCGAGCTCCTTTTTGCACAGGTATACATGGGACATGAAATATCTGCAAAATAGAGCATCTATGATTGCAAAATGAGTTCACATGTATAGCACAGTGTGGCACTCTGTAGAATTTTCTGTCCCAGTTAGGGCTCAGATGGACTAAAATGCACTACCAGAGTACTACAAAGCATATGTGTTGTTGCTTGCAAATGCAGTCAATGTAATGAGGAATCAATTTAGACTGACTGCCTTTGAGCCATGGTTTGTCATGGAGTGTATTTTACTCCATAGGGGCCAATCTTGCATCAAGTCTTGTCCCCAAGGGGCCAACACAGGGACTGGGTACAAGACACACTTGTACATGTGTACCTGTTGCATACACAGAACAGGTGAGCTGCAATTGCACTAGTTATAAAATGAATTATCGTTGTCTTTTCTGCATTATGAACGAAGAAATAAAGAAAACAGAAGTAGTGGAAGATTATATAAACATTAATCTCTGCTTACTTATGTTTTGTGATAATGAAATGGCCCACTAACAAGCTTTTGAAAATGTTTACTTTAAACAGTAAAGTAATTATGAAGAGGTTTATTACTTTTTACTACTGTACTGTATTATGTTTTTTGTATGCATAATGTAGGAATGAATTGGCATCTTGATAGTTCTGTTCCTCATAGACATAGTAATCTATGATTTCATTTATTTAAAGTACTATATGTGCAGATATTTTGTACAGTGAAACTTGCATATAGTTAACATACATATATTGTTAAAAAATATGTCATAAAAAATATTCAAATGTGATATTTGAATAAAATAAAATAATAGCATCAAAAAATCCAACACTTGAATAGTTCCAAGCCACATGAGTTTAAAATGCCAATTACAATGGAGGAAAATGGGAAGGATTAGTATCATCCTCCCTAAGCAGGTGTCCAGAATCCGTAACTCCTTCTTCCCCCTGCCATAACCAATTTGGAAGCGCCTGATTAAACTGAATCAAGTGATCTAATTATGTGCCAACGACGTACACATGCGACTAATCGGGGAAATGCTAACTGCTTATAGCAGGGGGTAAAGAAAGAAGATATTCTGGATTTTGAAGCCCTGTGATCCGAGGATGGATTAGTATATGTTCAAAACAGATAGTTCAGTGTTCACTATGGCAAGTTTCACTGTTAAACACAAATAAGCAATTGCTATGACAATTAAACATGTACATGCTCATGATTGAAGCTTATTGTATTACTCATAAATGCATTGACATTAAGAATTAATCCTGCAGTATACTTAGTATATATTAGTTAAAATACAATATTTATTCTTAGCTATTTAGCAGTATAACTATATTTTCATCCCCTATCTCATGTGTATAACTCAGATTTTAATGAAAATAATTTAAGAAAAAACTTTTATTTTTATTAATTATCATTTTATCATTCCTGTATGCCTGAATAAGGATGAATATAATGTAATCCTGTTAGATTATTATATAAAAGTCTCTTATTACCTTAATACCAGTAGCAGTTTCACCACCAAGTAGTGAACTCAGGTCAGTTAACATGGCCGACATTACAAAAGGTTCCCTTAAAAATAGATTTAGTAGATCAGTTTTCATGTAAACTTTTTGAGTTTGACATTTACATCATTTCAAATCTGTCCAGTAAGAGGAATTATCCCTCAGTAAAAGTAAAAATATTTTGCTTTCATTATTAATTACTTATTCTAAGGGGAATCTACCTGACCTGAAAATCACATTTTTCAAGAAAATTAAAATTTCAAAGTTGAGATACAATTTTTAAAACCATTCGTTCTAAAACCATAATCTTTATTCCCCATTTGAGATTCTCGAACTTCACTAATGATCCTAACCAAGCAATGATGACTCCATTCTTATGTATGGCTACAGAAAACTTGTAAACAAACGGAGATGAAGCTCAAATTGGGTCATTTTTGGTTCTGCACATCAGTCCACCTTGTTTCAGTTTTGCTTCTTCTATGCTATATAAAGCAAGCAAAGATTTCTCCACAGTCAAGTGTAAATCCCTCTATACAAAACCACTAAATGAATGAAAGTGACATGTTCCCTGGATTTGTGCATTAGTCTATATTGTTTACTTCCTGTAGGTAGAGACCCTAAAGGGCCAGCTTGAACTAACCATGGCTGAAATGATCGGCTTACATGAGTGTAATGTAGACTTAAGACACCAGCTTCAAGTGACCATGCGTGACCATAGAGACGCTATAACAGACCTGGAACATGAACAATCCCATTATATCTCACAGGCATGCATAGGTTATAACATTAGCATGCACTGTTTATAGAGCTCATGTATAATTGTACTCTCGACTTCGTTAATAGCTTTTTTTTGATCAGATGTCATTTTATGATTTCGCTCTGTGTACTTCCCAAGTTTGTCTAATTTATTCATTTGGCAAATTTTACATTTAGATTGTTTTTATTATGATCATTTTATGGGTTTTCCAATTCTGTTTGAGACTCCTCTGTGCATAGTTGTGTCACTATTCTTTCAACATCTAGTTTTTGTATCTTAAGTGTCATAATTTGCCTGCTTATTATGATATTAAATTAATATCTTTAAATAAATCTGGCTTTTATAATTTTGTATAGATTGAGGACATTGAGAATGAATGTGAGAAAAAGCTCAATTATTACCACGACAAACTTCAGTCGCAGCAAGAGAAAGATGAACTAACATCGCTACAGGTATCACTAATGAATTCCATGTTGCTGCACATGACAAGTCACCTTATACTTTATATATACATGTAGTTAGGATTCTACCATGTCAAATGTGCATGGGCACCCCATCTCAGTTCCAGTATTAGGTGTATAAGTTGTGGAAGTGGGCAAGGGAGAAAGAAGGAAATGGCCCATTTGATAGCTCAACTGCTGTCAATAATTAGATTGGTTAAATTAAATAATTAAATGCATGTATTGCATGGTTGATAGTTTCATCATAAGAGAGTAGGAAGCAAGTAGTTATATATATGAATCTTCTTTTTTTATTAATATTATGCTAATACTGTGTATGTCTACATTACATTTTCATTTTTATAGATTTTTGTAGCATGTGCATGTTTGACCTGTTAAACAATAACTTGCTAACAACTTACTTTAATTTCAATTATAATTATAAATATTGCATGTGTTTATTTTACAGTTGCTTTCAGTTGGTGTATGATGCCATTGTCAGTTTGCATTATTATTTTAAGCAGTTTGTTAACTTCTACATTTGAGTACCATAATTTGATTCTACAGTACTTATACTAACATTACGAACATAGAAATTCAAAATACAACATTATTTTGAACATTATAATGCAGAAAAATTATGAAACTACTCGCTGACTTTAACGCCACTCGAATAATAAATCCTGTGTCATATTTCACAAATGTGTCACATTAGTCTTCATTTTTGCCGTAAGAGCCAATAGCATCTAATAAGTGAAAATTGATATTTTTTCATTGGCTAATACATTGGGATGATCTCTTTCCAGGTGAAAACCTTAAAGGCTCAGCTAAAAGAGGCCAGGGAAACTATTGCTGTTAGAGATGAGGAAATAGGAGAGCTGAAAACTAAGCTAGAAAACTCTGTAAAATGTCTAACAGAGACTGAAGCGTCACTACTCAGCTCAAATTCTCAGATACAAGAGGTAAGTAGTGAATAATTACTGCTTGATGCTATTCAGATGATCACATATTTTTGTTCAGTTATGATTTCCCACATTTTAAATGACATTTCAAATATACATGTATTATCAGTTCGCCGGAGCTTTTGCCAAAAATGCAGAAACACAGCTAAAACATTATTTTATTATATTTTTGAGCAGTCGAGGGTAATTACTTAGTTGATTTCCAAAATATGTCATAGTGAATATTCTTTCTATTAAAGCCTCAGTCACATTTGCTCTACAGCGACCCCAAATCGACCATAGTTCCCTGAAATAAAAAATTTCTGTGGTAACCCATAAGAAAACTATGGTTGCCTTGCAGTCTCCATTTGGCGTATTCTGTTTTTTTACAGGCTGTAGTCGCCGTAGTAATTATAATTTTTGAGTTATAGTTTTTTTCATTCCTGCAGTCATGGTAGAAATCAATAGCCCACAGTCAAACCATAGAAATGTTCAATGGTAGCCATGTCTTGCATAGTCGACTTGCGACTGCCCTTAGATAATATTTATTACAATGGACCTTTGTGAACTGTAGGATCGCCATAAGGTCCCCTGTGGCTTGGTTTTTGTAAAAAAAAGGGACAACCTACACTGACTGTGGGTCATCATTTATTAGCTTGTACGACAAGTGTAGTTTTTATGTCTTCTCAAAACCAAAACAAGCTGTCCGGCTGCTGTAGCAAAAGTGACTGCTTAAATATTTGACCTCAGAAATTCTAAGTCAACCAAAGGAATAATTTTGACTGCAGAAATGATGGACTGTTTGGTCGCCATAGCAAATGAGACAAATGATATGCCAAATTTTTCGCAATTTGCAAAAGCTAGCTGATGCTATTATACCAATTTTACAATTAAGTCCCTCAGTTCACGTTGATTACCCAAGCTATTTTTAATGATCAATTAATACTAATATGTATGCATGTAAGCATGTTGAGCCATTAAAAGCTGCATGATGATTTTGAAATCCTATTTCACTGATTTGCTGCCTTTTAATTTGCATCAGGATGCGTTAATCACCCGGTTACAGCCTCGCTTTCAATTCTTTCCAGGAAAAGGCACGTCTTAATCGTGTCATGGAATCATGGAATGAGCGTGAACAGGAACTCAATGATGATTTGAAGACATTGAAACAACAGTGTAATCTAAAAGACAAACTCATCACTGAAAAATCTGAAGAAATCAGAGAAATAGAATCAGAAGTTTCAGATAAAAATACAAAAATTCAAAAACTTGAGAAGGATTTGAAAGACTTTCGAGATCTTGAAACAGAATTGAATCAGACGACACTAGAGTTAAATGAAAAGAATGAACTGCTTGCAAAATTCCAAGATAATGATGACTCAAAAGTTCAGCATTTAGAAGGATTACTGAAAGCAAAAGATATGGAGGTCAAGAACATTGAAAATGAGCTCACTATCAAAACTGCATTGATAAGAGACAAAGATTTAGAAATTGTTAACTTGAAATATGAAATGGAAAAAGAAAATCAGCAATATGAAGAAGAATCAAAACTAGCAGAAGAAAGATTGAAAAAGATTGAAGAAGACTTCAAAAATGATCAGATATTCTTGGAAAAACAGGTTGATTCTTTGACTGAGCAGTTAAATAGTCTTAAAAAGCAATCAAATATGACAGATTCTTTGAACACCAATATGGCTGACATTTTACATGAAAAAGATGAGACTATATCTCAACTAGAGGAGAAGATAATTGAATTGGACAAAAAAGCTGAAGACCTTGTGGAAGAAATTAATGTTGAATTAGAAGAAAATTCACATTTTCAAACAAGTCTTGAGAAATCAGAATCAGAAAAGAAGAAATTATTTGAAGACGTTGAACACCTTGAAGAGCAACTTGAAACTCTGAAAAAAGACAACAAGGAACTTGAGAATACCAACACCAAACTTAGCCAATATTATGAAGATGTCAGGAATGAGAATCAACAGCTTCAGGAATGTTTAAATGGCGAGCGAAACTTTAAACGTGATTTACAAATTGAGAAAACTAATCTGAATGCTGATTTAGATAAGAAATTGAAAATTATTAATCAATTAGAACTAAATGTTGAGGAAAAGGAGACCACAATAGGTAATCTACAACAGACAATGAATGACTTGAGAAAAGGTGACAATCAAGATGTAAGGACTAGTGACATTACAGATCTTGAGATAAAATGTGAGCGCGCAGAGAATGAGGTTAAACACCTCCGTGCAGACCTGAAGAAAGCTCATGAAAGCCATGATGAGTTGGAAATAGAGTTTGTTAAATTGGAAAAACAATGTAAAGGAATCGAAAATGAACATAAATCAGAGTTAAAGCTAATGTCAGATAGAGTGCTGGATCTTACGAAAAAGTTGGCTGATGCTGAAAAGACTGTTAGAAAACTGGAGCAAGGAGCTAATACAGTGCATGCACAGCCTATAATAGAATATACAAATATCTCAGAGGAACTGCACCAACAGCTGTCTCAGTTGGAATCAAAAATAGACAGTGTACAAGGAGTCATTTTGACCCAGGATTCAAATACAACCCAGCTGCAGGATCAGCTTGAAAATGTTGAAAAACAGGTTGTCCAGCATTCACTGGAGAGTATGCCTCGTGGGGGCAAAGGTCCTTCAGTGAAACAGGACTCTGAACTATCCATAACTGTTGACCGTCCACAGCTCTTGTCTGAGATACAGCAACTGAAGCAAAAGCTTTCAACATCTGATGAGAAGCTCAGGGAGATAACAGGCCAGATCATGAGCAGAAATGACAGTGAAGGAAAGGACAGCTCGGTTAACGAGCTTGGAAATCACCTGAAAGAAGTTGAATTGAAACTTTGCCAGTCACAAAGTACAATAGAGGACTGTAGACAAAAACTCAGCAATGTCATAGATGATTTGAATCAGTATCCTAACAAAATGGCTGACATGAGTGAAGATAACCTCGAAGTTTTAAAATCAAAACTAACAGACATTCTACAGGAAACTGAGACTTTAATAGAGCAAAGAAACTCTTCGGGGGAAAATGCTTGGACATCGCCCACAGAGAATACAGATTCTAGTCAATTACAGTTACAACAGTTTGCCAGTGTTCTTGTCAAGCAGTCTGTTGTATTGGCTCAAGCTTCACTAGCATCTGAAGAACAGAGCTCATTAACAAAGTCACAAGCTGTGGAGTGGTCCAAAGCCCAATCCAAAATACATTCTCTTGAAAGCACTGTTGAAAAACTCCTTGTGGAAAATGCTAATCAAAAATTTGAGCTGAATCAGCACCAGGATGATTTTATGTCTGTGTATGCATCCCTTCTTGCAGAGAAAATAGTCCTCCAGAGTGAGATTAATACATTGGTGACTGAAGCTTCTTCTCAGGCAAGGATGAATGACACAGAGGTCACAAAGGAAGATGAACACACAGTAAATGATTATGCAAATACTCTGGCTACTAAAGCTATGATGCATGGAGAGGTGACTTACTTGTTGGACAGAATGAACACAAAATCAACAGAGACAATGCCAGACATCTTAGAAAGTGAATTGGAAAATTCACTTGAAAAATTAAAATCAAAAGAAGATGAGATTGAAGCATTCATTGAAAAATTCAGAGTTGAGAAATTAGATGAACTGGTTACTAATATGGCTAGAGAATCTTCTGAGCAAACAATACGACACTTGTCATCAGAATCGCCGCAAAAGCAGAACATGGCAGAAGTTTTAGCCTCTTTAGGATCCTCAATGGATTCAATAGAAAGTAGTGAGTCTGTCCATCTCAGTGATACTGAGCTAGCAGGCTATGCGGCTGAGATCAGGCGACATGAGAATGCTAAATTAGCTAACCAATTGGTCAATAAGGAACTTGTTAATGCAGAGATGACCATCATAATGCATAAATATCGTGATCGTTTTGAATCTGAGATTAACCAACAAACTTCTGTACCAATGACTCGTCTCGCTTCTGCTGACAAACATGCTAAAATAGAACAGGAACTACAAAAAGAGATTCAAGATGTCACATCAGAAATAACACAAAAATATAAAACAGTTCTGAAAGATCACAAACCTGTGAAAGGTGACCACCATCCCGAATCAACAGATGATCTTATTGATCAGTTTGCAGAGATGTTAGCCCATAGAGCAGTTCTTAATGGACAAGTCGCATTCTTAACAGAAAAACTCAATAAAAATAACACCTCTGTTAATCAACACAAGCCACTAACTAAACAAGATTCCGGAATTGATGAATTTAACCCTACATCCCCACCTGGAAAAACTCAAACCTCACATGCAAGTTCCAGCAGGCAGGTATTCCAAAATGCTTTGTTCGAAGAAGTGTCAATGAATAATAAGGTGGCAGAGTATATTGAAAAACATGTAAAAGACAAAAACTCTGAAGGAATTGTTAATGACCTGAGAGTGAGATGGCCAAATGTGAATGACTTTGCTAAACAATTTGTACATGAGACAATGTTACAAGCCCAAGTTTCATATATAATACGAAAAATTGAAAATGCTCATAAAGCCAAACTAACGGTTATAAATGATCAAAAGGAAAGACTACATAGTACAGTAATATCTGAAACAGACCCCATAGAACAAATAAAACAAGATTACGAAGTAGCATTACTCCAGGAGAGGTTAGACAACACCAGTGCTATAGACACTTTAGAATCTGAAATTCATAAACTTGAGAGACTTGCCAATGAGAGATTCTCTGAAAATCCCCAAATAGACCAAGACATTGAGGAAAAATATAGGAGTGAAATTGAGATATTACAAGAAACTAACAATAGTTTACATAAACAATTAGAGTCTATAAAAGATGATAAAAACAACACTGCTGAACATTATAAACAAATCATCCATGACTTAGAATCAAAACTTAGTAGTGTACAATCTGAACACCAGAGGGATCTAACTGACAAAAGTCGAAGGTTAAGCCTACTGAATGTTGCAGAGCAGGATAATTATGATCTACGGAGCGAACTTGCAAAGTTGCGTGAGAGATTACATGAAGAACGTGAACAGCATATGGTAAGATATGAAATATAAACTTGATGTGCTGATTTGTAGGCTGTTTAGGGAATAAAATGGGCAACATACTTGCAATATTCATGTTCAGTTGGAAAGCTTTCACTGCTAAGAGTTGTATTTATGAAGAATTTTGCAAGTATAAACATTTGTTTCATGCTCATTTTATTGTTGTTGATTTATTCGCAGCATTTGTAGCAAGTAGTTTTAGCATTTGGCGTTTTATTAATTTCAATTTCATAACTTTTGCTTTGGTTTTACTTATTAAAGTCCTCATACTTTTGATTTTCATAATGTTTTTGTTATTAATCACCTAACATATAATACAAATAATGTATTTTATTTTTATTATGACATTATTGATTGCTTCTTCAATCCTTTCTAACAGTATTGAAATAATCTCTATCATTTATATTTAATTAATTTTACTACTTGGTATTTATTTATTGAATTATATCAATATCTGAAACATCATTTTTTGCAAAAATTATTACCAATGAAAAATGTTTCAAGAATGAAATACCTGAGGTCAAAAATCTTTGCTTTGAAAATTTCATTCTTCTTCTTTCCTCTAAGATTTCATATCTAATCTGATCATTCTATTGCTTATAACATCAGCTTGAGCTTGACTCTAGCCGGCAAATGTCGCAGGAGACATCATCAAGGGGAGATGGGGCTTCCCCAAGCAGAAATAAGGTCATAGAGCTTCAGCAAAAACTCAAGGACATTCAGGTAGTTGCTTGTTGAGATTTAGTTTTAGCATGATGTGTGGTACTGATAAAGGAATTGGGTTTGTGAACAGAATTTGGGAGACATTTAGATCAGTAGTTTGTACATTAATTGCACCTGAATCCCCTTGTAGACACATAGTAGTTAGGTGCCATCTTATATGTTTTTCACAAAATTATACATAGGCTATTTTGTTCACTAAAAATGTGAAGTTTGTTTTGTTAACATAAAAGGGGGTGGTTTGTCTCATAGTTAATGAAATGGATTGTGTGTACAATTTAGAATGAAACATTTGAGATGACCTTTGTTGTTGTAGATGGACAGTGTGTGTCATGTGAGGGATGTCTAGGGTGCTTCCTTATTAAAAAACAATTGTGAAATTGAATTACCTTTTCAATTGTTCAATGTGATTGCATGTCTAGTTGTAAGCTTAAATGTGCCACCTTTCTAGGAAATGAGTTCTACGTGTAGTTAGACAATGTTTATGAAATTTGGGTCCTGTCACATGAGTAATGAAAGGAGCAATTTGGTTAGATTTAGTATTTTCAACTCTGATTTTTTCTGAATGGATAAATACCTAATTATAAAGGGGTATTCCTGATTGTTTCAAAATACCTATAGACACCATTTTTGGAACAACTTTGGGGATTTTTAACTCCAGAATGACATCGATAATGAACACTTAAAGTGGTGACATCCTATTGTCAAGTCATTCTCATTGATCATGGTCCTAGTGTTCAAATATTGTGAAGTTTTGAAAATTTCATCAAGGTTGATACCTATTTTCATTATCAACAAAGTTGATGCAATTTCCACATATTAAATAAAATAGATGTCACATGTAAGTCATATAACTTAAGGCCGATCTGGTAGAGCAGAATGTGTAGTGGAAGTTTATGATATCTTCTACAGTCCCTGTTGCCACTTTAATGAATTTTAACAGTGGCTTAATATTCATTTTGTCATAAAATCAACACCTTAACATATGAGTTGGAATCTAGCAATTGGTATATAGATGGACTAACATGTCAAAACATCATGGGGAACCAAATATATAGTTATGCTCCAACTGACATTGCCTCTTTAATATTCATAAATAAAATATATTCATTCCTTTGTATCCTAAATATCCTCTTTTGGATTCTTATGTATTCTTAACATTCTGTGAAAACTAATTTACTAACAGTCAGTAACCTACTAACATGTCCTAACACACATAAATGGACTGTAAACCCCCAAAGGTGAACAGTCTTAGGTCCTATAATAAGAAGTGGATAGGAGGAGGCATGTATCACATTGATTTAAAGATACATGTACAACATTGTACAATATCTTGTTAACAATTTTTTAAGTAAAATTCTATTTTATCTAATGTTTGCATGGTTCCATAGAGTATATGTCTTGGTTTTGAGAATGATTAATAAATGACGAACATATATTTTAATTTACCAGAGTACAAGTATATGTAATATACATATGTATGTTTTAAATAAAATTTTGTTTGCATTCTGGTACCATGTGAATTAAGTCTAATTGATTGTACCTTTCATCTCATCCTCAATCAAAGTTGAAGAAAATATTATCATTGTTACGTTAAATTTGAAATGTATAAATCCTTATGTCCCATTCATAGGAGGCCTATGAAAATGAGATAGAGTCGCAGAAAGTGGTGCATGATGAGCAACTGTCCCGCAGTAAAGAAGAAATCATGCATTTATTGGCTGCCACTGACCTGACAAGTCAAACCATAGATGAAGATGCCATTAGGAAGAAATATGAGAAAGAGATTGATAGATTACAGGTACAATAGGATTTCTATATCCCCCACCTCCCAAAAATGATACTCTTATTATTGAGGAAATTGAATTTAAAAAAATAAAGCAAATATTTGAATATAGAACATGTATTCCCCAAAACAATGCTACTTTGAACTCCTTTATTATATGAACATCTTAAACCACTGAAACTAATATGTGAACAGTTCAAAAAGTCAAACAGTGCTGAAACCATTGAATTGAAATTACATATCCTACCTTTTTTGATGTTACAGAGTACTTGTGAGAAAGGCTTGGAGAATATGGCTGGGTCACAACGTAGGATTGTACAACAACTTCGTGAGACGCAACGACGTGAAATTGAGCTCCTCAGACAGGAAAAAGATAGTCAGCTGGCAGAGGAGATCAAAGCCACACAAGCAGGTAAGCATGGCACATATGAAGAGTGACATATTTTATGTGTGGGGATTCTGGGTGAGAGTGCCATGTTAGGTTTCATGCTGTCAAGGGTATGTTATCTTAAAACAGAGAGTCCTATGTTATGTGGCCATTGGGGAAAGAACCACAATTATTGTTTGTTTGCAATTTATTTAGAAAAAAATCATTCTTGCATGGTAGAGGGAGTGGTGAAATTATGAAAAAATGAAAAATTCTTTTGATGTTTAACCATGAGGAATGGTGATGATACCACTATTTTGTGCATGTATTTACCTCATAATATCTCAATATATGTAGATAATCTACATGGGGAATTTTAAAAAATGATAATAAATGTTTTCATTATGATGTTTTTGTTCTCAGTTGATTACTTGGAAGACTTGGTTGATGGTAAGGAATGTATAGTTGTAATCTCATTGTGGATCAGGCCAATGCTTTTCAGATATGTCTAATTACTGGCCAGACCTTAGCTATTCAGCTCTTTGGGCAAGTTAGGGGACACTTTTTCAGTTTCTACTTTTAACATAACATCTCATGCAGATTTACCCTAATCATTCCTTTTTGATAACTTGAAGGGAGGTAGGGACACGGTACAAGGCCTTTATCATGCTATTGGACACCTTTAACTCTAGTATGACATTTCTTATCAACATCCTGGCAATTGCAAGAGATGAAACTCCGTTCTGATAATTGAAACTTAACTTAAAGTGACAATATAGCCTTCTTGCCAGAATCAGTCGTTATCATTGTACCTTATGCTCTATATGTATTTTCTAACTATCTTGCTATGTGTACATTTATTATTGGTGTTACTTTCAATGATATTCGTTTCCCCTCAAGCATGTGTGTTATAAGGGACCCTAAATCTGTAAACATATAAGATGCTCCATTCCTATTAGAATTGATAGTTTGTCCCTGTATTTCCTAACAGCATGATATGATATTTAGTGTAGAACTCGTATATTCCAAAAATATGTTGTTTCAATTTGTAATAATTGGTTATACATGTAATTGGCTAAATGCACGATTGTTTAAGAATTTAAATGTGTGTATAGGCTGTATGTAATTTGCATCATTTTATCTATCATGAGTCATGTTAACATCATAATTTTTGTCAAAAATTGTAGAATTATGATATCATAATTTCATTTCCACCCATTACTACACCCAACCTAGAAACGTAAATTAAGAATTGTAAAAGTCAAGGTTCACTACAGTCAAATGTACATCTCCAAGAAATCCAACCACTCCCTGCATTTACATGGGTAAATTATGGGTTGTTTTTCTGGAGCTGGAGACTGGACTCTTTGATAGATCACGTCCCATAAATAGGAGTAATTAGCCCTTTAAAACAGTCATAATCTAGTTATAGCACACCATATAATCCTTGAGAAATGGCACTTTGTGTTGATACTAGACTAATACACATTTCTTTGAAACATTCTTACATCAGGAAACAACAGAGCACCTTCAACATGCAAGGAGACTTATGGTCCAATGGCAAAGCCTTGATATATCTAGTATATGTCAACATGAATTATAATGATGTGTTGTATTGTATTGTAGCCCTAGATGCCATGAAGAAGGCTCACGAAGCAGACTTAGAGAGCGAGAGACTGAGATTCCAGGAAAAGATTTCTGACATGTATACCAAGACAGATATTGATGCCATACACCAGCAATATGAGTAAGAGTCACTTTCAGCACCATTAGAGGCAGAATTGTGGTTATATAATACAATTCATGAATGAAATAGTTATGATCATATTAGACTTATCATATTAGAGTTAACTTAAAATATCAGAATGTCATGCTATTCTCATACTTGTAGAACTTAATGTGACTGTCATTTACCATTTATTAAGCAGTAAAAAAATAATTTGCTACATTGGTGACAAAATGTTTCTAGTTTTCTGTTGAATCTCGAGTCTCGCATAATACGAATGCAATTTTTGGCGATCTGTCTGCATGGGGTGAAATTGTAAAACAGAATTTCAAAAACACAATATAAAAAGGCAACAAATACTAGAGACCAGTCGAAAGTACCTTTCCAAAAAGTAGTTTCAATTTTTGAATATTATTTCCTCATAACATGCATATCTCAAAAAAGGCCCTGTTCAGGTTTTCAAATTTCCGTATTATTAATACATTTGTGACTTTTGTAGGAGTGAGATTGATCTGATAAAGACTGAGATTAAGCTAGTGTCAGAACAGTACTCCATTAAGTGTATTGAGAATGCCTCACTTCAAGAACGTGTTGAAGCCCAAACAAGAACCATACAGGAGAGTAGGAAGCACATACATGATCTCATGGCAAGGTATATCTATATAATAATATACATGTATTCACTGCATGACTGAAGGCTCTTAACAAATTGATGATGCTTGTACTGGGATGGGGCTGAGCTAAAAGCCACGCCATTGACCCTTGCCATTTTGGAGCTATTAAGCCCCTCTGAATGTCCACAATCTGTCTTCACTGTGGGATTACTACAAAATTGTTCTTGTGTATAGAAGTCAAAGTTTAGCTGCAGGCCCGTAGCCAGGGCCGAAGCTGTCTTACTTCCCAGCCTTGATACTATGAATTTTCTTTTTTTTTCAGGAATGATGAGCTAAACATTAGACTAAGAGGTGAATTAGAAGAACTGAAGTCTGCCAAGGAAGATGGTTCAGGCACTGGGGATCAGTTCAAAGATGCAGAGCTGAATCAACTGAAAGATGAACTAGCTGCCTTGAGGGACCACCTCAAAGCTACAACCATGGTGAGTTGAATAATGTTATTATGTCACCACCAGATGGTGGATGGTGTTCGGCATCTGGCGTTCAGTGTCTGTAACAATTTGCAATAACTTACAAGGTAGTGACATTTTGTCATGTTAGAGCCTTGTTCTGTCTTTGTGTACGCCCTATGTCTGCTTGACAATTTTGATATGCAATATTTCACTCAAAAGTTATTATTTGAAATATGAAAAGCTAAATTATTTCACACTATGTTTAGTATGTTTGAGGAAAATGAAATGTTTTTCACTAAAATGAATTTGTTCATTTAATTGTCTCTCAGGAGCGTGATGATACACTACACCTGTATGATAGCCTCAAAAAAGAGATCGAAGGAAGTGAAATTAGGGATGAAGATGCGGAGGCAGGAGCTGCATTAGACCGGGTCTCCATCTCACCTACCAGACAAAGAAACACTAGAGGTGAGTATATCTATCATCTTATGTTTATGTATCTTGAATACGTTTATATGTGATTTCATACATTCTGAGATTTTGTAGTCGTGCATCATGCCACGGGGTTGATTCTCACTCTTAACGTAACTCTGGTTGGGTAATACACAGCCAATGTAATTCAACACCGTTGGGGTATCCAAAAAATTGGGCGCTGTTACGGCACTGTTTCAGCACCATTCCAGCACCGAGACCTTTCGACACCAAAATTTGGCACCGGACTAGTCAGTCCATTTGGTGCCAAAATGGCACCGAAATTTGACACCAAAACGGCGTTGAAAATCAGATTGCATTTTGGGGGTGTAAGTGGATGAGACTTATGCATTATTAGCATTACTTAGAAATAATTAACTTTTTATCTTAAAATTGACAGGCAAGACAACTTTGACAGTGTAGTTAGGGATATCCCTTTAATAGGCATGTTGCAAAGCATGAACTGCACTAGAATATGTGGTGCTTGTAAAATCTGATACAAAATTATTTGAGTTCCCAAATGATCGTATTAAATGGGCATGTGCATGCTGTTAAATATTAAAAATATTCACGGAGCATTATTTTGAAATTCAGATGTTATGGATATTAACCTCTGTTTATGCCACTTACAGGGAAAATGCATAGTCCAGACAGGAGCCCAAGTCCTAAGAGGACCCGATCAGGAGATGAGGGAGATTCCAGTCCTGTCAGAGCCAATACTTCAAGTCCTACTCTTCAAGAGTCCCCTACTGCCAAACGTAAAGTCTCAAAACTCAAAGGTATTACTATCCTTTAGATATGTTTATTGATGTACTGATTTTGTACGTGGATTTAATTTGGTTTAAAATAAGTTTGATATGGTACATTCTTTATGCTGTTAATTTTACGGTTTTCATATTTCAGACATTCATACTTGTAATTCAAAAATGATTGAATTTGAGGTAACTTTCATGTTTGTGTTGAGGTTTTTCTTAGTTTAAGACTTTGTATGTACTGAATATATTACACAGCTTCTTCTTGGAATGAATTCTGTTTCTTTTGAATCCGTATTGTCTATCAAATCCTCTTATCTGTAATTGCGTCATATTTGAATTGGAAAAGAGTGGAATCAGCAAGAAATGAAGCAAACATGACATTTATTTGATTCTCAAAAATCTTTTGAAGTACAAAAATTACAATATATCCAATAGCATTGTTCATTCAAGCACAATGTATTAGAGAAAACAGGAGAAAATGCATGAGCAGACAGAAAACTTTAACATTTGAGGATTTTCTTATTTTTATTTCGTGAAGAAGCTGTGTACATGTACTCCAACTGTGTGTCTTGCAAGGGGACTCATGATGTTTATAAAGTATTTGTTGCTTGTTGATATTATAAGGAGACCCTTGTTTTCATGTTGGTTCACAGGAAATCGTAACACAGTACTAAACTTATATCCTTGGATTATAGTAAATATTCTCTTTCTTTAGAAGAGTCACAATAAATGAGGTATATTTCAAAATAGTGTGAGGCTATTGCTAGAAATATAGTTGTACCCAAATGGAATAACAGAGACAAGCTTATTCTTTGCTTTTTAATGCAGTTTTATAGCTTTTATATGACCAAGCCTACAGCCAACTTTTGCCAAGGGGGGGGGGGGTCACTTTTTAAAAAATTCCAGGGGGGATAACTTTTGACAATTTTGGTCCTAAAATGGCCAAAATCACTTATAAAGTGTTCAGAATGTTGAGCCCCCTGGCTATGGGCTTGATATCTATAACATTATGATTCATTATTTGAATAATGTTAAACCTGTTCTTTATGGTATCTGAACTGATTGAAACAATTTACATGTACCAGTAGCCAAAACCATCGCACTGACAAACCTGGAACCAATAAACTGTTTGGTTTTCTTGGTGCATTATATTGGTTATCCGTTCATACTATAAAAAAATCAGCACATATGACTCAATCAGTTTATTTATCTTTAACTGCTTGGAAAATTGTTAGAATTAGAAAACCTGTACTTGAATGAGTTGAATTACAATCCAATCATAATTTTGATGTTATAAGGAGATGGTAGGGATTTAAGGTGAAGGTTGTTCTTACATGAAGTATGTACTATATTTGTCTGAATCACCCTGGATGTCGGAGGGGGGGGGGGGGGGTTATTTAAATTTCAATCGTCTTCATATGTTATAAGATGTATATTAAATGGGAATTTATCGCCATGTTAAAGGGAAAGATTTCTTTGATCATTTCTGATCATTATGTCACCACCAAAAGTGGTGACATATTGTTATGGTCTCCGTTTTTTGCGACGGCGTCCGGCGGTTGGTGGTTGGCGTCCGGCGGTTGGCGTCCGGCGGTTGGCGTCCGGCGTCTGTAACAATTTCTTACAACTTCCTATAACTTAACAAATACTGTTTAGACTGACTTCAATTTTTTTCTAAATCATCTACATGTTCTCAGAAGTTCAAATCTGACTTTAGATTTGACATTTGACCTTCAATGACCTTCTCAAGGTCAAAAAGGTCTTTTTTCAACTTGCTTCACATTGACTAAATTTTTTTTCAAAATCATCATCATGTTCTCAGAAATTCAAATCTGACTTTAGATTTGACATTTGACCTTCAAATCTGACTTTAGATTTGACATTTGACCTTCAATGACCTTCTCAAGGTCAAAAAAGGTCAAAAAGGTCTGTTTTCAACTTGCTTCAAATTGACTAAATTTTTTTTTCAAAATCATCTACGTGTTCTCAGAAATTCAAATCTGACTTAAGATTTGACTTAAGATTTGACATTTGACCTTCAATGACCTTCTCAAGGTAAAAAAAAAGGTCAAAAAGGTCTGTTTTCAACTTGCTTCAAATTGACTAAAAAAAATTTTCAAAATCATCTACGTGTTCTCAGAAATTCAAATCTGACTTTAGATTTGACTTAGGATTTGACATTTGACCTTCAATGACCTTCTCAAAGTCAAAAAAGGTCAAAAAGGTCTTTTTTCAACTTGCTTCAAATTGACTAAATTTTTTTTTCAAAATCATCTACATGTTCTCAGAAATTCAAATCTGACTTTAGATTTGACATTTGACCTTCAATGACCTTCTCAAGGTCAAAAAAGGTCAAAAAGGTCTGTTTTCAACTTGCTTCAAATTGACTAAATTTTTTTTCAAAATCATCTACGTGTTCTCAGAAATTCAAATCTGACTTAAGATTTGACTTAAGATTTGACATTTGACCTTCAACGACCTTCTCAAGGTCAAAAAAGGTCAAAAAGGTCTGTTTTCAACTTGCTTCAAATTGACTAAAAAAAATTTCAAAATCATCTACGTGTTCTCAGAAATTCAAATCTGACTTTAGATTTGACTTCAGATTTGACATTTGACCTTCAATGACCTTCTCAAAGTCAAAAAAGGTCAAAAAGGTCTTTTTTCAACTTGCTTCAAATTGACTAATTTTTTTTTTCAAAATCATCTACATGTTCTCAGAAATTCAAATCTGACTTTAGATTTGACATTTGACCTTCAATGACCTTCTCAATGTCAAAAAAGGTCAAAAAGGTATTTTTCCATCTTGCTTCAAATTGACTAAATTTTTTTTCAAAATCATCTACATGTTCTCAGAAATTCAAATATGACTTTAGATTTGACATTTGACCTTCAATGACCTTCTCAAGGTCAAAAAAGGTCAAAAAGGTCTGTTTTCAACTTGCTTCAAATTGACTAAAAAAAATTTTCAAAATCATCTACGTGTTCTCAGAAATTCAAATCTGACTTAAGATTTGACTTAAGATTTGACATTTGACCTTCAATGACCTTCTCAAAGTCAAAAAAGGTCAAAAAGGTATTTTTTCAACTTGCTTCAAATTGACTAATTTTTTTTTCAAAATCATCTACATGTTCTCAGTAATTCAAATCTGACTTTAGATTTGACATTTGACCTTTAATGACCTTCTCAAGGTCAAAAAGGTCTGTTTTCAACTTGCTTCAAATTGACTAAAAAAAAATTTCAAAATCATCTACGTGTTCTCAGAAATTCAAATCTGACTTTAGATTTGACTTAAGATTTGACATTTGACCTTCAATGACCTTCTCAAAGTCAAAAAAGGTCAAAAAGGTCTCTTTTCAATTTGCTTCAAATTGACTAATTTTTTTTTTCAAAATCATCTACATGTTCTCAGAAATTCAAATCTGACTTTAGATTTGACATTTGACCTTCAATGACCTTCTCAATGTCAAAAAAGGTCAAAAAGGTATTTTTTCATCTTGCTTCAAATTGACTAAATTTTTTTTCAAAATCATCTACATGTTCTCAGAAATTCAAATATGACTTTAGATTTGACTTTAGGTTTGACATTTGACCTTCAATGACCTTTCAAGGTCAAAAAAGGTCGAAAAGGTCTTTTTTCAACTTGCTTCAAATTGACTAATTTTTTCTTCAAAATCATCTACATGTTCTCAGAAATTCAAATCTGACTTCAGATTTGACATTTGACCTTTAATGACCTTCTCAAGGTCAAAAAAGGTCAAAAAGGTCTGTTTTCAACTTGCTTCAAATTGACCAAATTTTTTTTTCAAAATCATCTACATCTTTTCAGAAGTTCAAATTTGACTTTACAAGCTCTCAGAAATTCAAATCTGACTTAAGTTTGAACTCATAATATTGTGAGCAACTAGGTGGTGACATTTTGTCATGTTAATGCCTTGTTTTATTATGTCACCACCTTCAAGTGTTGACATATTGTTATGGTCTCCAACTTTTTTGTGGATGTTGTTCGGTAGTTGGTGTTCAGCATTTGGTGTTCTTCATCTGTAACAAATGACAGGTGGTGACATTTTGCATATAAATGCCTTGTTCTCAGATCTCTCAATCCCTTGCTGCTGCTTAACTTGACTGCTATGAATGATTTCAGTTATAATGGATTCACATGCAGATCAACAATTGTAATAACTTTCCTTCAGCTGTATACAAGAATCATATCTTTTGAATACCAGTCAACTTTGGGGTACCTTGTCACCAGTAGCTTTCGAGGAGATACCATTTTCATTTCTTGTGTCAAAGAACATTTTGTTTGATTCTTATTTCAGTTGAATATTCAGACGTGTGGGTATAAAGGTTAAATCAACCTTGCATAAATAGGGTAAAACTTCTAATTTCAGCATTTTAGAGTTGTTTTTGTTTTACTAATAATTACAACTTCATTGTTTCAATTAATCACTTCAAATGTCACATGTTATTTTGCTTTTACTAAACAATACCTGACCAGCTTGAATAATGCAAGGAGACTAATCAGCAATAATGGGTAGTATCCATGCGCTGTTGATACTGAGATATGCTCATATCATGAATTTAGAAGGGGCTCTGCATGATCAGTAATAGTATTTGTCTCATAACAAGTGTTTTAAACAGTAAGGCCCCTCATAAATCCGTGATACCACGAGCAGGTCACGGTTGCATCGACGCATAGATAATATCTGAGTACTTCATCTATTTAGATATATGTTATTGCTTTTTGGAAACATCGATGCTTTTTATACTTAAAACTCCAGAAAAAAATTAAATTGCAAGTAATTCGCTTATTTTTGTGCAAAATCATCCAGACTTATCTTGCAACTAAACTTTTAGGCACTACATGTTAATCCCTACATTTTAAAAAGATCATTTGTTATTACTTGTTTATTAACCAGCTAATTGTTAATGATGCATGGCACTGATTTAAGTAATACTGGATTTTTATGAATTTTTTTGCATGTATTGTAAATAGTTAAGATCACGTTTTTGGGACATTATGTGTAGATTTAAAGCAATGTAAAAACTAAATAGCCATAAAAAGTTTAAATATTGTTTAATCATTCTAAATTAGATCATATGAAATAAATTCAAATTTCTGTTTTATACATTATATTTATTTTAAATCAAATTAATATTAGTCTGTCAAATTTTTTTAAACATTAAATTATTTCGTCATTACACATTTGTTATTATGTTCATGTAATTATTCTACTTTGGCGTGCTTTGCTTTGTAATAATATTGTTTTAACATTTTATTTCCAGTTCAGTTAAGAAAAGGCCACGAATCCCGCCGTGCTGCTCGTCATCCATTTGATATCGCCAAAACCAAGAAATCTGGATCAAAACTTTATGCCATTAGTGGCGTTAATATGGCAGAGAGATTGAAAAACTTTGAAAATTGAAAGTGTCGGGAGAATCTGAGAATAGCCTAATGTTGCCAAATAGTAGTAGGATAACGCTCATTTTTATGTCAAAAATACACAATTCAAAGATATATAGTAAATGCTAGATCCTAGATTGTATCATAGTTTTTAGGTGCATACACAGATTGTTCTGTTCTCAATAGTACTGCAATTTAACCCAGCTCTTAGCTAGCAAATGGGCACAAAGGGACAGATTAATGTGTGTAACATATTTCAAGCCATGTAAAGTGAGATTTTGTATCAAATAGGTAATTTGGTATGTAATATGCAATATATTGTTATTTTAGATGTATAAAATCTATATTGTTAATAATGTACATAGTGTAGCATACATATGTATCTATATATTTATATAGTGTATTAATATTAACATTTAGATGCCATCACATTCAGTGTCATTGTATATTTATTGTATGTATACACATGAATCATTTAATGTCTGTCTCCATAATTCATGTATTTTAATAAGTGATTGATACAAAATGAGTATTCAAAAAGCATTAATTTTTATCATATACAATCTGCATAGTTTACCATGTCAACTCGTATAATTTTGAAATGATCGGAGATTAAAACAAGGCATATGTCACCACTTGGTTGTAGTTACAAATGTGTAACTACTGGTTACAGATCCCTACACCAGTCACAAAAATGGCAATAAAATTAAACATTTTTGACTGAAAAGCCACCCCTCCACCCATTGCCTGATACATCATTGTAATTTCATTACAAAACATTCAGCGATATTTCATATTTTTATAGTAGAAAAAGTTATTAGTTTAAGTAATGTTAGTTATGATGCCAGTCTAATTATATTCTTGCCGATCATGTTTCATGCCTAGGATTGAGTGTAAAGATATTGATATAGAATTTCGTAAATTGAATGCCATTAGGTTATTGTTTCATTTTGAAGTTCAAAATGACATTATGCACGAGTGATATGTGAATCTAATCAACACGTAAACTGCTGAATAATGACAAATATATCCATGTAGTGTACAAAATATCTGGATTTTAATTGGACAGGTCAATAAACAGGCTTCTTGTTAGTGTAATTGTACATTCATTTCGAAAGCTTAAGTATCCCAGGTTTAAGAGAGTAACCAAATTATAAACAACACATATAAGTTTCCTAACAATGTCTTCTATGTACTTAAAAAAAATGTAATCTCAGAAAAGATCAATGGTATATTGTCAATCAAATTATAAAGAAATTAATATTACAGAATTAACCTGTTTGCAAACAAAACATCAACACCATGTTGTCATTGCTTTTCTTTAGCAGTTTAGTACCAATGAATAGCTGCATGTCCACATCTATGATTCGAGGACAAAAAGTTGAAATATCTGACTGTATTATTATAAACAAGTTAAGACAAAAAGATATTGAATATCTTTGAAATTGAAAAAGCTGGTCTCTATATCTGATATTACCTTGAACTTTGAGTCTGTTGATGTTTAATATAGGACATGATTAAGAAAACCTACCAAGGTATTCTCCTAAGAATAGAACATCTCTGTAATTTGAGGCACTTCCTGGAACTCTGCCTTGGAAGGTCCTTTTATATTGAATTTAAACAAAGGTGGCGCTAAAGTGTATTTTATAGATAAATTAATAAATGTGCGTTCATGTAGGTGTAATGTATTGATGAACATGATGTTATCATCTTCACACTATCAGAGAGCACCAATCTGCTAAAATAAATAAATAATAATGCAATAGTATGTTTCGTGTTGTTTTTTTATTTATTTTGTTCATCAATAAAAATTTTAAGTCAACAATAATTACATAATTTACAATGGCTGTAGCACCTTTCAAGACCCCTACACTGTTGTTTGTTCAATAATGTACCAAAAGATAGGGACAAGGTCTATATATTAATCAATTATAGAAGGGAGTAGATGTCCCCCATTTCACTGCTTGACATTGAATTATATTAGGAAAAGTGATTCATTATCTGACTACTTATGTTTTTTAAATAAATAAATAAAAAGTTTCATAACATTTTTAATGGAATGAGAGGTCAGTAATGATATGGCCCCTAACCATTAATTAAAAAAACACCAATATCAGATTTTCAGTCAAATCTACCAGAACTATAAACTCAAACTTCATGGATGTGGTAAACAATTGTGATGAAATCGGTGTAACACAATCATCATACACTTACCTATAGAATATTCCATTTATCATGTTTTTGATCTTGCGATGCATTCTTGTTCAACTGAATTCAATAAATCATTAAAATTTTACTGTATTCATTTTTGTACTTTTACCATGCATAAATCCAAAGTTTCATCAGGCAACATGTACGAGTTCTCATAAAGTTAACCTCCTTAAATGAGAATTATCTAGACAGGACCTATTATGAAATCATAAACATTGAAATTGATTGATAAAATACAGGATACATTTCTATATGTAGTATTAGTATTACATATTTCTGCGCAATGCCAAATTTCAATTCACTCTTACATGTACTTATAATGTAAAGCTATACACATAATCATAAGTTATGCTTTCACTTATAAGTTAAATCTCTATTATTTGTTGATTTTGCCTTATCATTTTCAACATAATAAATCCAATGATCTTGTCTTCTCCAATCAGAATGGGTCAATCAAAATCCAGCAGTACAAAAAGAATTTTATGCCTTCCTTAGTAGCTGACTAGAACAAATCTGGGCATAGATTCATTGAATCCTATTTCTTGATGATCAAATAGGTTTGTAATCCTTTTTCCTTTGTGACATTCATGGGAGTGTTCATGGAGCTTCAATGTGAGTCGTCAGAGTGTCTTAACTGTGTATAAAGAGACTTAACTAGTGTTGGGGCTGTCCAGGCATGGGAGGCATCATTCCTTGACCAGGTCGACCAGACATTGCTGCATTGGGACCTAACATAATCTGAAAATTACAGAATAACACAAACCATGAGACAAATACCCCATTATAACATGATTGTGAACACAGATTATTACAATCAGATATCATAGTATCAAAAGATCACAAGGCATTTAGATATCATAGTATCAAAAGATCACAAGGCACCATGCAAAATGTAGCTACCTCCCATTTGTTACAGATGCCAAACACCAACTGTCGAACACAGTCCACAAAAAAGTTTGAGACTATAACATGTCACGTCATGTCAGTAAACTGTAAAGGTAACATTCAGAGAATGATATTGCAAAGGTTAGGCCTCAAAATGGTTTGAACTGAATACTTAGAATGATACTTTAAGACCCCCACATATGAACGAATCCACTAAATGCAGTCTTGCAAATTGGATAAATTGTCAAATTGGAAATGTAAAACATGTGAACCGAAGCACATCTTTGTACATGTTTCCGCAGCTTTCCGAAGGGATACTCACAGCCCAACGATGTACAAGGTATATATGTACTAATGGGAGCGAATTTACTTGAGTCCTTATCACCAGTACATGCAAGATGACATCAGGGGGAGGGGGGGGGGGGTTTCGTTCATATGTCTAGGAGACCTTTATGGCTCGAGACTGAGAGATACTTTAAGGTTGAAACTTCGTAATGATAAGAGCAAAATCTATATATTACTTGTCTTTGCTGTTGTAATTGTTGTTCTTCCATTTGTGATCGCTCCATTTCAAACATAACAGGAAGTGCTAACATCGTAGCCGAGGAGGCACAAACCCACATTAAGCTCCTACTGTTGCTATATAGCCATTTGGTCCCATTCCAGCTTAAGTCCACAAGTGAAGAGCTTGTATTCCGAAGTGATTCAGGAAACATTTCTGTAAGTCCTATCAGTCGCTCAATCAATGTTTCATCTTCAATGTCCTGTAATGATAAAGATTATGACAGTATTATATGATAAATATGAAAAGGTGAGATCGAGATGCTATGCTGTTTTTATCAACAGATTTTACTACATGTGTTACATATGTCCAAATCATTTAAGTTGAACATATCATGATGGAAATAACCAGGCGAGAGTAGTGCCTCCTCATGGAAAAAACTACACCACTAACATGTACATGTAACCATAATTGGACATATTTTATCATGTTTAATACATGTACAGTATAAGCAAAAATGTCTTTTAATAAACAAATTTGGGGCCATTACAGAGAATACGGTGATTTAATTTTACCAATTAAAATATGACACGAGACAACGATATATGAGGGTCAAATGTGCTGTTAAAATCGGGATGACAATGTTAACATTTGACAACGGAATCTAGAAAGTCAACAATATTGTTCCTCTTTCCCGTTGTCATTTCTCCTATGTACTATTGCAATACATCCACCATAGTCCGTTGTCACATCTTACCATGTGTCATCGTCTCTGTCAATTATTTGAAATTCAGATTCGGTGTCATTGACGATATGGAAGATGGTATTTTGTGGCAATTCAAGACAACATTTGATCGAATCGGGATTTCATATAAAATTTCATCACAAGAGCTTGACACATGTGGATTTTAGAATTTTTTGAAGTAAGATAACAGAGTTCTGCTTTGATCTTTAGTCAGTTGTACTATCTTTTTCATGGCCTGTAAGTTACCTGAAGATTAGGAGTCTTACTTACCCTCTAGAGGTTAGAACACACATTTCAATGAAACCATATAACCTATTTGTTTTGTTCATGATGAAGCATAAGCACAGTACTTGATTGAAATGTGTGTAAATGCTTTTTGGACTTTTCCATTTTCCTCATGTTTACATCCGGGAAGGCGTTGCCCCTATCACGAAATAATGTATTGACCTTGAACTTTAATTTTGTGACATGTCATCCAACCATGTCTGATGTGTGAAAATAATTACAATATTAGAAAATAATGTTTTGCAGTCGTTTGCAGACGAGTTTAGGACAGGGCAGAGGATGGCCTGTTCTTAGATAAAAGAAACTGCATGATCTGCAGAGGAACTATTGGTCTGAATGAAATGCTGCGCAGAAAGTATGAATGGGTCGTCTGCAGTATTAGTCTATTAATACAGTAAGACCTGTTCGTGATGCTTCATAATTTAGACCAAAGTAAAGAAGAATACACACATGTGTAAATTATAAAATCAATGAACAAACATTCAATTTTCACAAATGTTCGGTAATTTATTGTATTGAAACTTCCGGCCGGAACTTACAAGGAAATCATTCATTTTCATGGTCCATATTTTACCTCTTGGATATTGTGCTAAATGCTCTATGGTTGATGCAACAAAGGTGATAGGTTTTCATTGAAATGTGTGTTCTAACCTCTAGAGGGAAAGTAAGACTCCTAATCTTCTGGTAAATTTTGACGCAATAAAATTTCGCGATTTTTCAAAATTGCAATTTCGCAGCTATTTAATTTCGCGGATTTGAGTTGATGACATTTCACGGATTGCACAAGTTGAATTTTTTCCTCCAGCTCTGTAAACTCCATATTGATAATATTATATACTTACATGCCTGTTTACATATGCATGAGCTTAGCAAGTACATCAATTGTTGATATAAAATTGAACAATACCCCATAATTATCGCCCAACAACACTGGATGAAACGTTTTACACTGAACGAAACATACCAAAGTCCTGGGTCAAATCCCTGGGGATTTAAAAGACAAATTTCGCGACGATAAATGTTCGCGATTTTACTACATTCGCGAACAAAGCTAAATTAAATCGCACGCGAACAATACCCGGAGTACAATAACTCTTATATTTCAAGTTTCAGGCCATGAAAAAATAGTACTCCCAGATATCATTTATATGGCCAGGATCACAATGGTCATGGTCATGGTAGGTGCAAAATATTTCAAGGGAAATGCGTGAATGGAGGGGGGTAAGTACGAAATATTTCGAGGAAAATGTGTGACATATACAATATCAGCATGAAAAGGCTGAATGAAATGTGTTAGTTTTTTTCGGTGTTCATTTTTTTTGCTGTATCGGCGATCTCTTTTTTGAAGTTTTTCTACGGGAATATTTTTGCTTGACAATAATCAGGTAAAATGCATATTTGCGTGACATATTCTGACTTTGTCACCCCAAAAAAAAAACTGGGGTGACTTCAAATTTTCCAGCAAAAGTGTGACAAATACGCAAATTGCAGGACAGTTGGACGGCCTGCATTCCTTTGACTATATCCAATAGACTGAATTTCCTGAGAATTCAGTCTATTCAATCTGCTTATGTCTTAAAATTTAGATTCATTTGCACATAGTTTTTGCTAGTTTTTGCAAGATTCATATACTCGCCACAGAATGAACGCATTAAGGTAACGCTAAACTAAATCAAAAGTACAAAAAAATGGCAGCCATATTTTTTGATAAAGTCACAAGATTTTGTGTACTGTATTCACCATAAAAAGCGCCCAGGGCGCTTTTGAAATTGAAATTCCCATTGTAACCCATTACAAAGAGCGCACATATATGAGAGAAGTCAAAGTCAAAAATGAAGGAATTGTTTCCCGCGATTATCTTCAATATTTCCGCTATAGACTGTTAGATATCGATCTAAAGTTATACCTTATTTTTAAAAAGATTTTAGCTATTTTCTTCTATCTAATGGGTAGCAAACGCCCCTTGCAACGCCTCGGCTCAGGAGAAATATCTGGTCTGTTTAGAATATATATCGCAGTCACAGTGAGCACCATCAATCTTCATTATTCAGTTATTAAACTGAAAGTGCGGTTACTCTTTTGACTTCCGGTTTGGACGTTTTTGTTTGGTCATAATCATTGAGTTTGTTTACATTTCACCTTATTTTTAACTTCAGTTGAGTCTCAATACTCTAAGCATTATTTTTTTACTTAAAACTTAGTCAGAATCACTTGCAAATTGCAGATATTTAGCTTGAAGCACAAATTTCTTACTTTTTTGGGCCAAAACTCCGCTCATGGACATGACCTCATATCTATTTAAAGAATGCCGAGAAATGTTAAAAGAAAAATTTTCTGACAAGTTACAAAAATATGAAAGTTGACTAAACATAAAATATCACTGATCAAGGCCCCGCCCTGGCATGAGAAAAAAATTATTTAGAATTTTCTTTTTTTCTATTAGTTACCGGACTTCATTATATTTTGTTAGATATTAGATAGATGGTGCTGACTATGATCGCCGTTTACTCTGCATTAATGAATAGCTCTCTCACGTCTTACTTGTTCATGTTTTCTAATGCGTTTTCAATGTTTACCACCATTCCCGGGCTACCATTTCTTCACTGGGTTTGGTAATCCCTGGGTAACCAGGGCTTATTCCCTCCCTGGGTTTTGCACTTGTTCCCAAAATATGATATCTGAAATATACTGTGCAATAATATATGGAAAAGTATATTCATAATGTACATGAATGACATTTGTATATTTCAGATTTTTTAGTTTTTTGTGCAATAAGCCTGTGCCGTCTTGAAATTTGAAGAATTTCAGCCATGTTAATCTTATTGAAAATAACATGGCAGAGAAACATCCAAATATAAGAGGCCACACACTTTATAAGCCAAACTAGAAGCAATCCAAGATATACAAATCTCATTCATGTACATTATGAATATACTTTTCCATATATTATTGCACAATGGTCTCCCAATTTCTTATTTTTGCCTTTCTACTGACGAACTGAAGCAGTGAAATGGACTCTAGACAGAGGAATAAGCTTAGACTGAACTTAGAGGAGTGAAAACCCCGGTGTTTGACTATTTGCTTACCTCATCGTCTTCTTCTAGCGCTAGGGTAGGATTTGTATCTGTTACTCTTTCAGATAATGTTGAGACCTCAGCTTCTGTTATTTCAGGCATCATTAATTTATAAGATAACGTAAAATTGTAAGTTCACGCTTCTACACAGAACAGGAAGTCTTCACTAAAAATCAAACTATTTGATAAACGGAATATTGAAAGCAGGTGCGTGTCGGATCTATTTATATTTGCATATATTAATACGAGATGTTGTAGCTTAATGTTCTCATTGTTTCATCATCAGAAAGCGTTATAATAGATAAAAAACAAAATAATTGTTCGAAAATAATATCTTCAAATTTGAATTTTAAGCGGTGTAAGGATCAGAGTGCTCAAATGATTTACACAATTTGAATATTAATTGCGCGGACGAACAAAATAGAGGTGAAACGGCACATTTTAGACCACGTGGTGTCTCCCGCCATTGTTCTTTTCACCCGGCGAGCGAAGAGGCAACACTACCATTTTTCATCATTGCATTTTCAAGTCAAATAAGACGGTCTTTATCCAACATGGCTGCCCGTACGAGGACCTATTTCGACATTTCCATTGGTGGACAACCCGCTGGACGTGTTACATTCGAGGTAAACCCTTTAATTTGATGTAAAATTCCAAACTGTCAACGGACAAGAATGTTTTTGAAACATTGATTTGACATTCCTGAACAGGAAATAGATTCTAGAATTTTCCTTAGAACAAAAATTTATTTCACCCATTAACTCATCACCCACACCCTTTCCTGAAGAGATACGTTACTTTTTTCTACAAGAGTGAGCTTCTATTCCAATGTCACTTTGTTTCCAACATTGAAATGACCTTTATTTGTTATGACCTCTAATCTAGCCTAGAGACCCTTGTGTGAAATAGATCTAGGCTCATGGAACTAGATAACCACGCTCTCTACCTTGCTAATTATTCTTATCACTTCAGCAGGCTAGATATCATTTCTGTTGAGCCCAAATTATCCCAATTTTTGTGACGGGGAGTGCCTCACAGTCGGGTTACTATATTTGCACATAGCCATCTTTAGATAGATGGCTATGCATATCTTGATATTCCCAGCCCATGTTAAAGGTCTTTTACAAAAATGTAAGAAATCTTGGAATCATTTACCCTACTTCAATCAATGCCATAAAGACATTCTAAAGTATCGTTTTTCTAACCATATCGGGCTATCTGGAGTCGGGAGACAGTGTAATTGATGAAAAGTTTATTTAGAATTTCTTATTTTCCATGTCGTCTGACCAGGAAGTCTTGCCAATGTGCATGTCAATTTTTCTAGGCCTATAGGCCACTTAAATATGGGGTTGATTTTTCAAATCGCCCTCACAACTACTTCTCTATTGAAACCCTCATCCTCCGATCACAGGGCTTCAAAATCCAGAATATATTCTTTTTACCCCTGCGATAAGCAGTTACCATTTCCCCGATTAAGAACTCGCAATCTGATTGGCTGTTGCAACACTGCGACAGAAATCATGTATAAGCCATTGCGTGTAATTAAAGTCCATTTCACTGCTTCAGTTCGTCAGTAGAACGGCAAAAATAAGAAATTGGGAGACCATTGTACAATAATATATGGAAAAGTATATTCATAATGTACATGAATGACATTTGTATATCTTGGATTGCTTCTAGTTTGGCTTATAAAGTGTGTGGCCTCATATATTTGGATGTTTCTCTGCCATGTTATTTTCAATAAGATTAACATGGCTGAAATTCTTCAAATTACAAGACGGCACAGGCTTATTGCACAAAAAACTAAAAAATCTGAAATATACAAATGTCATTCATGTACATTATGAATATACTTTTCCATATATTATTGCACAATAGTCTCCCAATTTCTTATTTTTGCCGTTCTACTGACGAACTGAAGCAGTGAAATGGACTCTAGATCATATGATTCAGTTAAATCAGGCACTTCCAAATTGGTTATAGCAGGGGGAAGGAGGTACGGATTTTGGACACCTGCTTAGGGGGATGTGAAATCCTAGGCTTGTATGAATGTTTCTACTTTTACAATTTTTCAGTATGGTCCTTCGATTGCTTATTTCTTAAGATTCAAATTACTCAATGGAATTATGATAAATCTGACTTAGTCGGGGAGGTAATTGGAAAAATCCCACATTTAAGGGGGCACTTATCTCTTAACCATTGTAGATTTCATTTTTCATATATATAATTTAGATATTATTTTGTGTATTTTCAGTTGTACAATGATGTGGTACCAAAAACTGCAGGTAAGCCACATAAATGAAGTTAATTTACATTATTTGCACCAGTTAAAATGGGTATTTTGCAAGAATATCTCTGTTACTAATTACATGGTGTCAACTGATGTTCACCCCTCTGCCCATTCAGCTTAAAACAAGCTGCTTCTACAATTATTAAATATACTATATATCATTGGAAAGAAACATTATAGTAATGTGAATTCTTCATAGTTTTATATAGGTGTACAATGTTTTGCTATGTCTAACATATCTAAAAATATGATTTTTATGTCACAACTATGAAATGTTAAATCAGTGAACTAAGAATAATTTTCAGATGTGTTCAGTAATTTTACATTGAATCTTCTAAGATATACCAGAAAATAATATTGACACTTGGTTTATTTTCACTTCACTAAAACTGGTACATAAGTGACGAGTCACATTCATTCTCAAAATCTTATTTAGATTTGATGAGAGAAATAGTGAAATGGACTGTAGTTCCGAACATTTACCAAAAAAATATCAAAATAATTGGGGGAATGTAATTTCAATTTACTTAGTTGTAGTATTTTAAGATATTGCACAATGTATTCTACCATATGAAAATATCTACAAAAGTGCTAAAAAATCGATTATATCAGTTTCCATAAACATTCTCATGAGGATTTACCTTAAATATAAGGTATGATATTGAAACTGAGACCTTGCATATAAGCTATGTGTAATGTTAGATATTAGAAAGGTTTCTCACAACACAACGCTCAAAGAACGAGATGTGGTTGCGGACATGATTCAGCTATGCAAAACTTTTCTAATGTTCATGAATAGTGTTTGCGAATAATATATTGTATATGTAAGTTGTAATATGTTAATGAAACAAATGCTTGTAAATAATTATTGATAGCATATTCTTTTCATTTTTTAAAGAAAATTTTAGGAGTCTGTGTGTTGGTGATAAAGGTTTTGGATACAAAGATAGTACCTTTCACAGAATTATCCCTCAGTTCATGTGTCAGGGAGGCGACTTTGAATACCATAATGGCACTGGTGGGAGAAGTATTTATGGTGGAAAGTTTGAGGATGAAAACTTCAATGCAAAACACACTGGACCAGGTGTTAATCTATGAATAATTAGTCATAATGAGTATGCTCTTTCACATGTTAATAATAATTAACAAGGAAATGTGTAAAATACGCATGTTATTCCAGAAACTATTAAATTGATATGAATCTAACAGTCCAAATCTGTTTCCTATTTGTATAGAATGATACAGTGTAACTTGTTTTGAATAAACCTGGTGTAGATGGATAACACAGTGTTATTTTGCATAAAATAATTCATAATATTCAGTTTTAGAAAAGTAATCCCAGGTTTTACTGAAATTTGATATTAGCAAATCTTCATTAAAACTGAAATAGAAAAACATTTGAAATTGTACTGTAGTAACAAAGAAATTATGGAAAACATGCAAGATGCCTGATCATTATGACTGATTACCGATGTAAAAGCATGGCTGCTATATTGCTTATAATCCAACGCTCGAGCCTTGATGACAGATGCGAGCTCAGAACTACAATGTTATTATATTAATTTATTATTTCTAGCTTATTTTCAGGTGCTTGGACTGGATGTGTACTGATCATTAATTGTTGTTTTTGTGTGTTAACCAACTTAACCTGTCCGCAATTCAAAGCACAGCTCCTGAGAATTGTTCCAGTTATCAGGATCCTTAAACATTTTCGGGGGCTTGTGCATAACAATGCTCTCCAACATGAAAATCACTTGGGACAGCACATCCTATTGATTAACCAAAATGCTCTTTGAATATTTTAATGTACCTCCTAAATGATTACACTAAAAAGTATAAATGTTGCACAAACGGTAACCTAAAATGATGCACTAGAAAATATTTGAAAAGATTAAAACCATCCACACCAAACCATACTTATTTAAATATATAATCTTCTATTTATAAATGATAATAGACACTTTCTATGTCTCACTAACATTGTTATTATCTATCTACCGGTCTTTGACTATATTATATTTCTGTGACTAAATGTTTGATCAGAAATCACAAAGACTTGGTAATGTTTAATCTCTAATTGCACAAACTATTGAAAAAACAATCATATCTATTAATCTAGCAGTCTTGACTATATTATTTTTTGGTTAAATTGCACAAAGTAATGAAAATGAAACAATCTTCTTTCCATTAAACTATCAGTCTGACTATATTCTTTGGCATTTGTCAGAAATCACAAGCTATGATAATGCCATTTTTTCTTTAATCGCACAAACTATTGAAAATGAAACCTTGATTGGTAAAATATTTGACCTTAGAGGATGTCATATTTACAAGCAAGTGCCAACTTCCAGCTTGATTCAACAAATAGTTTCACGCGGATGATTTTTGTTTCTTACAGTGAGTATATCATTATTTAAAAGCCTTATTTTCTTAATATTAAAAAATGATTGAAAAATTATAATCAGTTGAGAAAAGTAGATCATGTTGAAAGACATAGATTGTGTCTCACATTATCAGCCATTGTTTTGTACACGTTTTAGAAGGTACATCAAGGCATCCAACTTATGCAAAATTTATGCTGTATTTTGTTTTGCATAAATAACCATGCTTAGCTGTGTTATGTTGCTTTTATTAGAGAACTTCAGAGCTTTGTGCACTGGTGAGAAAGGTTTTGGATTTCAAGCAAGTGGATTCCACAGAATCATTCCTGGTTTCATGTGCCAGGGAGGTGACTTCACTAACCACAATGGCACTGGAGGAAAAAGTATCTATGGTCAGAAGTTTGCAGATGAGAACTTCACAGAAAAACACACAGGACCAGGTATAAATGTGCTTTTTAATATTTGATACTAGTAATTAATGCTCATTGAAAAGCTCTTTTTTGTGTGTATTACTAAAATTTGTTTAAGGATTTAAGGTTTGTGTTTTCCCTCATTTTATCAATATTATTCTGCTATATCAGTTCCACACAAGTAATAAACAAACATTCCTTTGTTAGAAACTCTCATTTAACTCATTACAGTACATACAGTACATCATGTTCTTTAGTTTCCTGTAGGAAGTCATTCCTAACATTCAGTAATCTTACTTAGGGTCAGCGCACAAACAGTGATATTTTTTGCCATTGCAAGCCTTGCCTAATATTTGGTATTGTTTTTCAGGAATTCTCTCCATGGCTAACTCTGGACCCAACACCAATGGATCACAATTCTTCATTTGTACAGAAAAGACCAGCTGGTTAGTAGAACTGATCATATCCACCATAACCCACCAAACATAATTTACGATGATATAAAAAAAACTTTATTCATTTGTTTGACAATATTTGGAATATTTGTTAAAAGATCAATCTTCAATTTTGTCGAGTCCGAGTTGAAAGTCTATCACTTGCTGTGACATTTAGAATTGAGATAACTCTAATACCGTATGACAGATTTGATCAAAATTTTATAGGCTTAATGGGTGTAGGACTTCTGCTCAAAAAGGAATTTTCAATATGGCCACCATATTTTGTAATTAAATATGTAAACTCAAATACTAGTTGACAGATTTTGTTCAAATTTTATATGCTGATGTCTAGGGACATAAGAGCTTTGCTCAAGAACAGATTTTCAAGATGGCCTCTGGCTGCCATTTTTTGTAAAATACGTTATCCTTGATAATTCCACTACAAGTGAATTGATTTTGTTCAAGCTGTATACTCTAATGCTGTCTGATGCCTAAGTTCTCGCTAGGCTTTTAGACTCCAGAGATTCTCTGAAATCTTATGTCTTAAAACCCCTTGCTCAATAGTGTAATAGCTTTTCCGGAGTCTGAAGTGTTTTTTCCGGAGTCTAATTTTACATTTTTGTCACATTATTTGCTGTAAAACTCTTGAGAAAATACATAAAACTAGATACACACAAGGAATAGGAAATCAGAAACCTTTTAGAAATAAATATTGGGATTAAAATAGCAAGATAATCTAAGTATGTTGAAAAGTATACTAATAGGATATCTCTGATCTCACATGGGGAAGAAGTAGTCGGTATACCGTGAAAAAAGTAGTCACAATACCGCTAAAAATCCGGGACCTAAAAATTTCTTGATACTCTGTTCAAAAAGAACTTTCAAGATGGCACCTGACTTTCAAAATGGCCACCACTTTTCTGAAAAAAAAACATAATATTTGATAACTTGAATACCAGTGAACATATTTGGTTCAAATTATTTGTACGCTAATGCCTAAGAACATAGTTGCTCTGTTCAAGAAAGAACTTTCAAGATGGTGGCTGACTTTCAAAATGGCCATTTTTCTGAAAAACATAATCTTTGATAACTCAAATACCAGTGAATGGATTTGGTTCAAATTTTTTATGCTGATGCCTAGGGACACAGTAGCTCTGTTCAAGGAAGAATTATCAAAGATGACGTTGAATTTCAAAAAATGCCTTCATTTAATACCATTGAACGGGTTCGGTTCAAATTTTATGTGCTGATGCCTAGGGACACAGTAGCTCTGTTGTAGAAATAATTTTCGAGATGGCGGCTGAATATAATTTTTCATAAAAGAACATATCTTTGGTAGCTCAAATACCAATTGACGGATTTGGTTCAATTTTATATGCTGCTACATAGGGACAAAGGATATCTGCTTGAGAAGATATTTTCAAGATGGCAGCTGAATTCCTTTGAGTTGCTGTATTTCTAGTTTTCTCGGATAGTGTCTCATCTAGTAAATTCATGGAGGAGAGTTGGTAGAATCTATTTTTAATAGTAAGAATAAATCACGTGGGCATTCCGATAAATCTTTTCCAGCGAAACCATTTGAGGGATTCATCTGAAATTTTCAGGGAAGTTTCTACCTAGGAAAGTTTAGAACTGTTTAGTTTTTTGCCATTCTAGGTAAATGTTGAGGTGACCATTTTGGATTTTCCTCCTAAAATCCTGTTGGTTTAGACCTGTCTACAGGTTTCCAGCCAAAATATATAAGGGATTCATCTTAACTTTTTAAGA